TACAGAATATAAAAATAAATTAAGACACTTAGTTAAAACTGCAAAAAGAAATTATACAAAACAACGAATTGAAAAAAATAAGACCTCTTCTTCATCACTTTGGAATGTAATTAATTCATTGTGTGGAAAAATAAAAGGAAATACAAAAATTGAATCGATTAAAACCAAAACAGGAGAAAAAATAATTGACAGAAAAGAAATTGCAAATGAATTTAATACACATTACAGTACATTGGGACAAAGGTATGCACAAAAAATACCCATTTGTAATGAACAGATTGAGGACATAGATAGGATAGAAAGCAGCATGTACTTGTATCTCGTTGACCAAAAAGAAGTGGGAAATGCAATACAATCTTTAAAACACAAAAAATCTCCTGGCTGGGATGGGATTAAAACAGAAACCATCAAACACATTAAGGAAGAAATTATTACTCCTTTAACTTTTCTCATTAATGCATGTTTTCAGGATGGTTGTTTTCCAGAATGTCTAAAAATAGGCAAAATCAAACCTCTGTTTAAAAAAGGAAATAAAGAAGACGTGATTAATTACAGACTAGTATCTTTGTTGTCTGTTTTTTTCAAAATATTTGAAAAAATTTTAAAAAATAGATTAGTGAGTTTTTTGGATAGGTTTAGTATAATATCGGATTGTCAATACGGTTTTAGAGAAAGAAAATCTACACAAGATGCTATTTGTAAACTAACATCACAAATATCAGAAGCTTTTGAATCTAATAAACGTAGTTTATGCATATTTGTCGATCTCTCTAAGGCGTTTGACACGATATCTCACGGGATCTTATTAGAGAAACTTGAGAAGTATGGTCTGAGAGGACGCGTTTTGACATTACTAAAAAGTTACTTAACAGACAGAAAACAATTTGTAGAAATTGATGGTGTCGAAAGTGATCCTGAAGTAATTAATTATGGCGTACCGCAAGGGACCGTTTTAGGCCCTCTACTCTTTACACTCTATGTTAATGACATGCTTAAACTAAAAACTGATGGAAACATAATAAGCTTTGCTGATGACACCGCAATTTTTTATAAGGCCGAAAATTGGGAAGATCTTAAGACTATAGTTGAACAAGATTTCAAAGTTATAAAAACATGGTTGCAAATAAATAAACTCACAATAAATTACGAAAAAACTAAATATATACCTTTTGCAATATATAAAAATTCTCTGCCAACTTTTAACTCATTAAAAATAAATAAAAAACAACAAATATTTAAAGCAGAATACATAAAATATTTAGGAGTTTTAATTGACAGGCACCTTAAATGGGACTTACAAATAAAAAATATTATAAGAAAAATAAGAGGACTGTTACCAAAATTCCGCTATTTAAAAGAGTTTTTAGATGTTGAACAGCTTAAAATGCTTTACCTGTCTTTAGTACAATCTCAACTTGTATATGGGATTTTAGGATGGGGTGGCGTAGCTGATTGCCATCTGGTGACCCTTCAAAATACTCAGAAATGGTTTCTTAAACTAATATATGGAAAACGAAAAACATATCCCTCAGACCAACTTTTTCATGAAACTCAGGTTCTTGATGTTCGGCAATTGTACTGCTTAGAGCTACTTAAAAATATTCATAAAGATAAAATACCTCTTAAAGTAAAAGTGTCAAATCATGAAACAAGAAGAAAATTGAATGTTGAATGTCTTCATACTTCAAAAACAATCACGCAACGGTCAATTAAATATTTTGCTCCAAGAATATACAATCAATTGCCCATAAATTTTAAAAATATCAAAAATTTTTATTTGTATAAAAAATTAGTTAATGCTTGGGTAAAAGAAAAAAGGGAGTTGTGTAACAATTTAATAAATTTAAATTATACTAGATAAAAAAAACGAAACAAATTAGATTAGATTAGAAACTGTAAAAATGAAATAATAATTTGTAAAAAAAAACATTAAACCTGTTAATATTAGACAGCTTAAGTCAACAAGCATGTTAATGCTTTAAATACTTTTTTTTACGTTTATGTTACTGTAAGTAAACTGAAATTGAAATTGTAAATCTCTTAAATATATAAATAATAATTTTCCTTTTAAAGTCAGAAAGTATCTTTGTTTCTATTTAGACTTATATTTTAAATTCCAATAAATGTTTTATTTTTCTTCAGAACAACTTTAAGAAATATTTGGTAAACTAAAGCGTTGTAACATTTTGTTACTTGTTCAAATATTAATACAAAAAATACGCGTAAAAACTAGAACAAGTACTTAACTCACTTAACAGCACAGTATTCATCATCATCATCATCTTGGTGCTAGAGCCCTTAGAGGGTCTCAACCTTCTCAAGCTTTCTACGCCATTCTGTTCTGTCCCTTGCTTGAATTTTCCAGTTGCCGAATCCGATCTTCTCCGCATCTTGTGTTACCCCATCCATCCACCTCAGCTTTGGTCTACCCCGTCGTCTCATTCCCACAGGTTGCGCTGTTAGAATCTTTTTTATCATGTTCGATTCAGGGGCCCGGGCTAACATGTCCTGCCCACTGCAGGCGGTTTCGCTTAATTATAGTGGTAATATCTTTACCACCAAACGTATGCTTGTAGATATTCTGCAGTTCGAAGTTATATCTACGCCTCCATATTCCGTTCTCACAGACCGCTCCAAATATCTTGCGTAGCACCTTTCTTTCAAAAATGGATAGAGCGGATTCATCTGTTTTCGTTAGCGTCCATGCCTCTGATCCATATGTGAGAACGGGGACTATCAGTGTTCTATACAGCCTTATACGAGTTTTTTGAGACAGACGTTTGTTAGCTAAGTACTTTGATAGACCATAATAACACCTGTTTGCAATTATTATTCGCCTTTTTATTTCCTCAGATGTATTATTATTGGGGTTAACCGATGTCCCTAGATATATGAACTCATTGACTGCTTCGAAGTTTTGGTCATTGATGATTAAATTTGTGTCAACATTTCCAGCTCTTGTGTTTGTGTTAGTCGCCATGAATTTGGTTTTATTTTGATTTATATGTAACCCCATTTGTTCTGCTGCTGCTACTAGCTCGGTTAGGATTTCCGCAGTTCTCGCCCTAGTTCTTGTTATAATGTCCACGTCGTCTGCATATGCTAGAATTTGGACTGATCTATTAAATATTGTTCCCCTGCTATCTAAATTAGCGTCTCGTACAACTTTTTCTAAGGCGACATTAAAAAGCTGACACGCCAGCGCATCTCCCTGCCTTAACCCACTATGTATTTGAAATGGGGTTGACGAATGTTTTGAATTTTTACTGCTGATAGCATCTTCGCCATTGTCACTTTTATCAAACGTATGATTTTTTTTGGAATTAATAACTCATTCATAGCGTTGTAAAGACTTGGTCTTAAGACACTGTCATATGCCGCTTTAAAATCGACAAAAATATGATACATATCTATGTTAAACTCTTGCGCTTTTTCGAGGATCTGTTGTAGTGTAAAGATCTGGTTAATGGTTGAACGTCCAGGCCTGAATCCTGCCTGATATAACCCTAGAAACATTTCAGTATATGGCTTTAATCTCTCGTGCAAAATATTTGATAATATCTCGTATGCTGTATTTAGGAGAGTTATTCCGCGGTAATTATTGCATTCCAGTTGGTTTCCCTTTTTGTGTAACGGGCAAATTAAGCCTAAGCTCCATTCTTCTGGCATTTGCTCCTCAGACCAAATTCTACAAACAATTTCTCGCATCACTTTGGTGAGCTGCTCTCCACCGTGCTTAAATAACTCTGCTGGGATGCCATCGCTACCTGGGGACCTATGGTTCCTTAGTTTTTCTATAGATGTTTTTACTTCATCTACCGAGGGGGGTTCCACGAGTTCCTCATTTCGGTATTCCAGCTCTATATTGTTAGTAGGTTCCCCTTCCAGCAAATCTCGAAAGTGCTCTACCCATCGTAAAAGGATGTCCTCTTTGTTGGTAAGTAAGTTGCCTTCCTTATCATTACAATAGTTGATTCTTGGTTTGAATTTTTTTCTAATACTATTTATTTGATGGTAGAACTTTCTTGTTTCTCCGTGACTCATATGGCTTTCGAGCCGTTCTAACATGTCATTTTCCGAGTCTCGTTTCTTTTTTCGGTGTATGCGTTTTTCCTCTCTCCTTAAGTTTTTGTATCTATCTATTGTTGTTCTAGTTTTTCGTTGTTGCATGGTTCTAAATGCCTCGTTTTTCTCATCTGTTATTTTTTTGCAGTCTTGGTCGAACGAGTCGTTTCTTTTTTGGGTTCGGGATATTCCCAATGTGCTTTCGGCTGCTAATTTCAGAGCCTCCTTGCAGTTGTTCCACATTTCCGTGCTTGACTGGTCGACTGCCCAGGTGTGTTCTAGGGTTTCTTTTATATGTGACTGGAACTGTTTCTCATTATTTTCATTTTTTAGCATATGTAAATTATATTTTACTTGTCTAGTGCCCCTTTCTTTCTTGGCATTGGAAATTCTTTGTCGTAACTTGGCCCCTACCATAAAATGATCTGAGTCAATATTTGCTCCTCTGTAACTTCTTACGTCCATTAGGTTTGTAAAGTGCCTTGTGTCAATTATAACATGGTCGATTTGATTTGTGGTGTGTCCATTTGGTGATATCCAAGTGGCTTTATGGATATTCTTGTGATTAAAACATGTACTTCCCACAATTAAATCTTTGGAAGCTGCCAGACTAATAAGCCTTAAACCATTGTCATTAGTAACGTCGTGAAGGCTATGTTTACCAATATAATCTTGGTAGCATATCTCTTTTCCTATCTGGGCGTTCATGTCTCCAATGATTATTTTAATATCGTTTTTGGCACAGTTATCATATGCTCTTTCGAGATCTTCGTAAAATAGATCTTTAATTTCTTCGTCTTTTTCCTCGGTTGGCGCGTGCACGTTGATCAGGCATATGTTGAAAAATTTTCATTTTATTCGAAGGACAGTATTGAACTTCACAAATCAATAATAAGTAGTAGAATAAGTTTGCATTGTATTTGCAAAATACATATGTTAAACATTTCACAAATAATAATAAAGATAAGTATTTTTATTTATTTTAGCAAAGATTTTTATTTGGCGGGGAAGATGAAAGAAAAACTCAATGGTATGTGCCTGTTGTTTACACAATATCTAATAATAAAGATCAAAACACTTCTGCTGTTTGGTTAAAACCAAATAGTGCACCTGCCATCCTAAAAAATGTGGTGGACAAAGATACCTTGGTTATTATAAACCCTGATTCTTTGGGTAAGTATCAAAATAGCAACAATACACGAAAATTTAGTATTATCGTAACAATTTGAACAATAATGACAAAAAAAGAATTCACAAAATATTTCGTTACTTCTAATAATAAATGGGAAAATTCTAGAAAAGGTAGCTCATAATAATATACAACACAGAATATTGGATAAACAACAAGCTCGATCCTAAAGAATTAATAAAAGTCATAATTTCTAACGCCGGAGATAGTTTATTATACCTACTCAAATGACAGCACCAAAGAAGGATCTTTAATCAATTTGGTCAATATGCCCCAAAGTATATTAAGCAATTTCCTCTAAATTATCATCATCTTCATCATGGTGCTCTACAACCCTTAAACCGGCTCGACCTTCTCGTCTGCGTCATTCTGCTCTGTTTCTTGCTAGGATTGTCCAGTTGACAACAGCGGTCTGCTCAGCACCCTGTGTTACCCCATCTATACACCTCAGCTTTGATCTACTATGTTTGCGGTTGCCCGGAATACATGCTCTGCTCACTGCAGATGATTTCGTTTGATTATACTAGTAATATCTTTTCCACAAAACTTTTTAAGTATATCTCAGGTTCCGTTTTCACAGACCGCTCCGAATATCTTGCATAGTACCTTTCTGTCAAAAATAAATAGAGAAGATTCATCTGTTTTGGTTACGGTCTATGCCCCTGATCTATATGTGAGACCAGGGACTATCAGTGCTCTATACAGTCTTGTATGAGCTTTTGAGATAGACGTTTGTCAGCTAAGTACTTTGATAGACCATGATAACACCTTATTTTCTCTGATATTTATTAGGAGTAACCCGGGATTAACCCGCTGTCCCCATTACCCTAGATATATGAACTTTTTGACCATTTCCACGTTTTGGTCATCACCAATTAGATCTGCGCCAACATGTACAGATCTTGTCTTTGTATTAGTCGGCATGAGTTTGGTTTTATTTTGATTTACATGTAATCCCATTCCTTCTGCTGCTGCTACTAGTTCGGTTAGGGTTTCCGTGGCTTTGGTATGGTTCTTGTTATGTTATCCACGTCATCAGCAACTGCTTGAATTTGGAGTAATCTATTAAATATAGGTCCCTGCTTCCGTCTCAATTTTTTGCAATAGTCATCTAGTTTAGAACTAAAACAAAAACTGGATAAGTGCTATATTTGGTCTTTACTTTTGTATGGAGCAGAAGTGTGAAAACTTATAAAAAATAATGAAGATTCTTTGAACAGCAAGAAAAACTAATGAAGTACTAAGGAGGATCAACAAAGCTAGAGAATTACTAAAGACGATTTAAACACCGGAAAATGTCTTATCTGGGACGTATATTGGGGGGAATTTGATGTAGAATACTACAACTGATCCTTAAAGGCAAAATAGAAGGTGGTAAAGATGTAGAACAACACAGGTTTCTTGGCTAAAATCATTCGTGAGTGGTCTCAGATATCAAATGCAGAACAATTATTTTAAGTGGTATGTAGATGATCGAGAAACCCTTGCAATGGTGATAGCCAACGTCGGGTAATTCTGATATTTCAGGTAAACAAGAAGTGTAAAAGCGTTTGTGCAGAAAGAAATATGTAGAGAGCAGTATTAAGAAATAAATATGATTTGTCGATAAAGGAATATTTTCGGATTGTAAATAGAAAGTACCATGAATTAAAGCACTCAAAAAACTTTGATAATGTGTATAAACATAATTAGAGCTTTGAGAATGGTTTTGTTGAAATAATGTAACTTTATGTCATTCTCTTTCATCTCTTTCCACTGTCTTTAGACAATTATTTCGTAAAGCTACCGTTTTTTTAATAATGATAATTACTAATAAATCTAGTTTAATCTGTTTTTAAATGAAATTTTAGGTTACTACGTAGTGAATTATGAAAAAGCTCTACGCAATAAAATAATAGCACAACTCGAAGAGAACCACACACAAATAACTGATCTCACTAGAGCTAAACTAATACATGACGCTTTTAGCTTAGCTTTAGCTGGTTTTATTGACGTTTCCGATGCATTAGAATATTTAAATTATCTAAAAAATGAAGATTCATACTATCCTTGGTATACAGCCCTTAAAGGAATCAGCATCATCAAAAATCGGTAAAATATGTCATAAAAATTAATTATTAAATATAAATAGTAATGATTTGTTAAAATACTGAATGGTGAACTATTATACAAATAAATATAGATCATGTTTTGAATCTTTGTCCAAAACTCATTTTTTCTCACTCAAATCAACTTTTCTTCTATTCTTCTACAATTGCTTCTTATTCTTATTATAAAATATTATTACACAGATATCGAAACTGGTAAAGCATACCTTAGAAATCATCCTTACTTTAAGATGTTAATATACCGTCGCCTTAATATTTTTTGTGTCACTTTTTCTATATTTCAACCATGATCAGACTGAACAATAGACATTTTAGAGAATCCCCCTATCCTTTCCTATTACTAGCCTCAATGTCGCGGTCCAACGTCCCGTATCTACTTTTACTGTCTTGTTGGGGTATATCTTTTCGATAGATTTGATTGGTTTTGAAGATACATCCCTGGCGTAACATCCTTCCATTTAAACCTGTCGAATGCCTTCTTCAGTTCTACGAAACACAAATATGGTGGTTTGTTTTGTTAATGGTATTAACATACCTCAATAAAACAGCTGCAGAGTAATATTAAGTAACAGATCTCGTTATCTGCTCCATTATTGGCCATATATAGCATTTTCAGTTTCAGCCAATTTAACTAAAGCAAACAAAATGCCAGATATTATTAGATAAAAGCTTAACATGCACAAACATCGCCGTTGTCGGTTTAGATCAAAGTTGTTCACGCTCTCGTTCCCCGAAACCTAGCTTCCTCCACACTATGTTCCACCTCTTTCAGTTATCACCACCATACTTTTCTACTCTTATGATATCTCTACTATTTTAATTTATCTAGACTCCTTATACACTGCATGACAATTGAAACTTTATTGTTTTAGGCTGGGCCGAGAATCAAGAGTAACAGATGATTTGGATGACTTACTATTAGAGCTTATGGAACATTTAGCTGACAAGGTTCCTAGTATAAACTGGAACGATGTTGATCATGTAACATCTATTAAACTATCGCAGATCTGGGATTTTGCTTGCTCCCTTGGTTATAAAAAGTGCATTGACGAAAGTAAGAGATTGTTTAACGATTTCAGAGATGAAAATATCAGGTAATTCTCTATTTAGATATTTTTTTAGAATTTAGTTTTCAACCTAGGCTAGCCAGTACAAATAACATTTCTACAAACAACGTACCATACGTTAGGTAAAAATCACTTTAATTTTGACTGTTTTTCGAAAATATTTTAAATACATCAAAATATTCTAGAAGACAAAAACAAAATGCTAGATTACAAAAGAATTTAAAATAATTTATTTCACATATTTTTAATAAAGAGTATCCTAAATATAAAATAAATATTTTTTAATGGAATTATCGCAATAGCTCTTAAGAAAATTAAAAGAGAACTCTCAACTTTCAACAAAGTAGTCTTTAGGTTAAGTTAGCATAGTCTAACCTCCATGGTTGTTGATTGCTGTCCTACATCTGTAAGGCAAACTCATGATCATAAATGACCAATGTTTTGTCACGGTATTCTGTTCCAATCTACTGAAAGGCCATCAACCAGTTGCTGCCTTGTATTGAATGCAATATATTGTTGTAAAATGCGTCTGATGTGATGCGTGATTGTAGAGGCCATGGTAAAACCTCAATTTCATTATATTCGAGGAATGTTGGCATGACCTTGGCAGTATGCGGAAGCGCATTGTCGGCCTTTAATTAAAATAGGGGACCAGCTTGTTTTGAAAAGTGTACAACAATAGGTTCGAGAATAATATCGCGATAGTCTGTTGCATTTATAAACCGTTGCAGACAAACAAGATTGGTATTTTGGCCAAAAGTGACGCTACTCCATACCATTATACTGCCGCCTTGCTGTCTATGAACCTCCTGCACAGTGACCAATCGTTCAGCATTGCCAGATCATCTCCAGATTTGTATTTGGTGCAAACCCAAATCAATCAATCAATCAATCCAAATTATGGTTGAGACCATAGCTGCGGCAGCTATGGTCTCAACATCAACATCCATTTCTTTAATGATCGCGTAGATATTGTGTCTTTCGGGAATTAACACAGACTGAACGATTTACAGATGTGTAAAGATGTGTGGTCATCTTTGATGATACATCTGCAGATGCGTCCGCAGACAATACAAACGTTTTATGAACGATTGTACAATAAGTTAGATACAATGTAACTTCACTAAAGATATTATTTTTTTTAGAATCAATCCAAACATAAGAAGCACAACCTATTGTTATGGACTGGCTAACAGTGATAATGTCGAAAGAGATTACGATTTCCTTTTTAACCGGTTACAAAATACTATTCAACCCCACGAAGTTCGATACCTTTCAATTGGTCTTGCATGTGCGCCGGATTCACATTACTTATATAGGTAATTACTATTTTATATCAGTTTATTACATATATTACATATATTTATTACATATACATAAAGTAATAATAATTTTTTAGTGTTTTTATGTAACCTTTGGAAACAAAACAACCAAAATATATAGAGTCTTTAATTAAAAATAAAGTTGATGTACGCTATGCTTATGTAAATCACCCGGTACGTTTAAATTTATGTTACGTTAAAAGCGCGTACACATCTAGTCTAGACGGGATATGTTTTGGATTGGACATTTTCCATAGGAAGCTATTTTTTTGCTGGAGTCCCTTCAGGATATGCCCAATATCGATAATCACGATATGCACCAGTCGCAAACCCTGTGCTAAATTTTTTATTTAACAAAATCTGAAAACAATTGAAAATTTCTCATTTTTTTGCTCCTATTTTCGTTTATAATTCGGAAAATATTGATCCTAGAGAAAAAATTATAAAAAGTTAAAAGTTTCGTTATTCAATTATACACAATATTTCGTTAGCTAGAAATTGAAAATTTATTGTTTATTGTTAAACAAGCTCCATATTTCGCCTAGAAAAACTTTTTAATATGTTTAAAACGTGTGCTAAATTTTGTTAAGATCGGTCATATAGGTTTTGCATAATAATTTTGCAATCCAGCCTACTGGAAAAAAATCGCAAATTTTCAAATTTATAGTAGGCCCTAAATAAGGCCCTAAATAAGATATTGAAGGTCAAAGTTGGCAAGTTGCCGTGTAACCATAAGTGATAGGGGGCTCGGTTTTAAACAAATACCCTCGTCTTGTTAGGACAACATCCATAAAAAAGACAAATAAAAAACAGTTTTCGCGTAAAATGTAGCTCGCAATGCATGCGAGTTGGTGGTGGGGGACATTCACTCGAAATGTGAATCGGCTAGATCAAAATCATGGCGCGCGCTAAAAATTACATTATCTCGGCTTATTGTTAACCAATTTTGCTCTTTTTTTTGAATCGATGTCTCGAACGACAAGGATTTCCAATATCATATTTTCAAATACCGCTTTTAATTGAAAATTGGGAAATCTGCAATAAACAATTGTATGTTAAACAAGTAATTGCATTTTTTCTTCATGCATTTTTTTTGAGCTTGCAATTTATACATTGAAGTAATTTGTTACTTTTAGTAAACAAATATGTATTTATAAATTGTTAATAAATAATTTAAATTGTTAAAACAAAGGCGAACGAAATTTTTTTTTGCAAAAATCAAACTTTTTAAAATAATTAACATTAAAAATAATTTATTTCTGCAGTTTTATCATAATAATGACATTATTTGATTTGAGAATATATTTTGATTAGAAAATGACGTATATATTGTACGTATTATTATACTGCTGTGTAATGCTCGAAACTGCTTTTTTTGAGCTTGCAATCTATACATTGAAATAAATTGTTTCTTTTAGTAAAAAAATATGTAAAACAAAGGCGAATGAAATTTTTTTTTTTTTTCATAAATAAACTTTATTTTGATTCAATCTTCAATAATTTTTTTTAAAGTCTTTTTTTTTGGAAGGACAAGAATCTTTAATGTTCTTAAGGTGTATACATTTTGAAATTGATATGTTTAAAGCTCGTAAAGTTATTCAATTTGTTTATAAGCCTAAAAAATGGTTAAAACTTTAAAAAAATTCTAGGTTCTCTTTGTGAACCGATTTGAATTTTACAAAAAGCGTTTGAAAGTTTGACCCTTCCTTTATATGTAAACAAAATTGCAACTATCTGAGGGCCTTATTTAGGGCCTACTATAAATTTGAAAATTTGCGATTTTTTTCCAATAGGCTGGATTGCAAAATTATTATGCAAAACATATATGACCGATCTTAACAAAATTTAGCACACGTTTTAAACATATTAAAAAGTTTTTCTAGGAGCTTGTAAGTCAAGTTTAGAAAGTCGAAACCATTTAAAGGATTAACTTCATTTTATTGGACTTTTTTTCCAATTATTGCTATTTTTTCAACAATAAACATTAAATTTTTAATTTCTAGCTAACGAAATATTGTGTAAAATTGAATAACGAAACTTTTAACTTCGTCTAATTTTTTCTCTAGGATCAATAGTTTCCGAATTATAAACGAAAATAGGAGCAAAAAAATGAGAAATTTTCAATTGTTTTCAGATTTTGTTAAATAAAAAATTTAGAAAAAGGGTTTGCAACTGGCGCATATCGTGATTATCGATATTGGGCACATCCGATTCCAGCAAAAAATAGCTTCCTATGGAAAATGTCCATTATGGTCTGAATTTCTACACATCCCACCTAGTCTATAATTGATTTCGACTATTGACCATCCAGTCTAGTATGGTCTTTAGAAGGTTCCCCCACCTTTACCATAAAAAAATACTCTATAGAAGTATTATACGTATATATGAAGTATGGGATATAATTGTTTAATGAAAATGACGTAATTTCAACTTGTATATTGTATAAATTTTTTTAGAAAATGAACTCATACTAAGTCGTTCTAATTTATTTTTTTTATTAGGATTTTAGCAAAGTCTCTAGAGCCCAATTCAGAAATAAGCCGTCAAGAATTTTTCCACGTGTGGTCTTCCATATATTCACATAGCAGTATGGGTCTTAACGTTGCCTTGGAGTATTTTATACTGAATCATAAGCGGATTTCGGAATAGTAAGCATTATTGCTATTTATTTATTTAGTTAATAGTTCTTGAGGGCACAGGGCATACAATTTACGATCATAAATCATACAACATACACCACATAATTTTAATCACGTAGTATAATCTAGAAAATTAAAAATTATTGTATTCTATTTTTATATTACTTCTTTCAATGCATGTTCTCATAAAATAAAGAATATACAGCCCCAAAGATATTAAAAGTAAAGTTGAAAAATTATTTCTTCTTGTTGTTTGTAAGTAACGTCTCCTTTAAGCAGGTTTAGTTTTTTTATTTCCTTCACTTATATATATATATATATATATATATATATATATATATATATATATATATAATTAACATAGAAATATATACAACCAGATATACAATGTTAATTAATAAATTTATTTAAATAGTAATTAAAGACATAATTTATAAGTTATATACTAGATAATATTATTAAAAAATAATTATATGAGGGTATTTTTAAGAATTTAGCATAAGAATTAAGTTTAAGAAGTTTTTTTTATTTTATTTAATATTAGATATGTTTAAATCAGTCATGAGCATATGCAACCAAACATACACTGTAGTGTCAAAGTCAAAAAGTTATTTATTTTTAGAATTTTAATTTAAAATAAAATTACATATGTAAAATAGTAAAAATATATTTCATATAAATGTTTAAGTTACATATAATAGTGTAATTCTGATCTGGAGAGCCTAAAGTCAAGTAAATTGTACATAGAAAATTCTAGAAATGTCAATAGGACTATTTGCATAACACATCATAGACAAAAACCATTTCATTTATTCCAGAATTTTCAGATAGAAAAAATAGAATGCTTCGAACCTTATTTATTGCTAGATTATTCTGGAAAGAGGAAGGATATATAAACCATATAATTTGGAGCGGGAGCTCAGTTAGAAGTCAGTTAGTTAGTTAGTTAGTTACAGATTATGATTAGTTACAGTTGATTAAGTGAGTCAGTAAAGGTATAATTCAAGAATTTAGTTACAAGAAGATTATTAATTGAGTTAAGTGAGTTAGTTAGAAGAAATTAAATCAGTTACAAGATTATTATTGAGGAGTTAGTTATAACAATTCAAGGATTATTAAGTCAGTTACATGTGATTATTAGTTACAAAGAAGAATTAACAAGAATTTATGAGGTTATGAAGAGATTATTAGCTAGAAGAAGGGATTGATTAAGTTAAATGAATTATTAAGTCTAATTTACAGTTGAGATTAATTATTACTACAGTAATATAGTGATAGTATGAAGTTAATTCATTGAAGTAAGCATTCAATAATACAACCACAAGATCCAGTATATTTGAAAGTACATTATATGGAAATTACAAGGATATAAATTTATATATTTATATGGTGAGTGGAGATAATTAAGAAGAAACATATTAAAGTTGTTGGATAACCAAGGCTGAGTAAGAAAATATCGAGTGGTGATAATAACTTTAATTTTGGAAAAACTTTAGGCGTTCAGTGAAAGAAAGGTACCAAATTTTTTTAATAATTTACTAATTGTAAGAATTTCAAATTTTAGATAGATTGTTTTAAATTGATATTGCTTATATTAGATAGATAGGTTTGTTTCATCATAGTTATAATAAAGATAATTTAAAAAAGTACTTACAAACTAATCCTTTGAGAACCGCGATAAAAACCCTATACTTACATATATCATTCAAATTTACTCATAGCTCATACAGAAACAACACATCATAACAATGTATATATATATATATATATTTATATATATAGGTATATATATATATATATATATATATATATATATATAAATATATATATAAATATATATATATATATATATATATATATAATATATATACATATATATATATATATATATATATATATATATATATATATATATATATATATATATATATATATATATATATCTCCATCCCCTCATGATTACATTTCCTATTTTAATTTGAATTTAAAATCTCCTTACTCCTTCATTCTTTCCAAAGAGGACGTTCTGTATAAACTGTTTCGTCGTTATTTTACTCTTATTCTGCTACTAATGTCCTTATGATTTATGACAATAATAACACCGGGATCACATATTCCGTTAGTATTCGTTCCATGAGTTTCAGGCCCATATCATTGCTTTAATGTACTTGTCTCATATTAAATGTTGATCGAGCATTTTTTATTCTTGATTTGATTTCTTGCGTAAACCTACCAAGGTTCTGGGTTGAACCGCGTCGATTTTCACTGCGCCGAGCTTTCGACATCTTCTTTGATGTCTTTTTCAGGGCTTCAGGGGTCTACGTCTCCTCAGCCTTCAGACACTACACTGTTTACTACTCGCTGCTGTACTGCTATTGTAGATGGCACTCTGTTCATTTATTTGATCAATGGTGACTATTCGGACAATAGTAAATGATGGTTTACTGATATGGCCTTTATGTAAGAGTTAGCGCGAAGATTCCTGACGGCGTAATTTGGATTAGTAGGTGAAGAAGAGAGAGAGAACAGGCGAGGAGTAGGCAGACCGCAGAAGAGGTGGACAGACGATATCAAACAAGTCGCGGGCAAGCAGTGGATGAGAATTGCCAAAAGTAGAAATCCATGGAAGCAAATGGAAGAGGCCTATGTCCAGCAGTGGACGAACACAGGCTGAAGAAGAAGAAGAAGGTGAAGCAGACGATGTTTTCTTGGGAAGGTCTCCATGTCTAAGACAATCGGGTGCCATCATCTCTTTTATTGAGGCAATTTGGCCGTTTTTCAATCCCTTTGGCTTTTCGGGTAATCTTTTGTTCTGTAAACGCGAACGGCGGCTACCGTTCTAGAGTTTTTATCAATGAATTCTGTGACTTGTATGAAGATGGTGTTGACCTAGAGTTGAAATTAAAAAATTGCTACCGGAAATAGAATGTTCATAAATCCTGTTTTGGGTTCTACGATTGGTTTGGCCTATGTAGGATTGGTATAATTTATAAACTCCGTGATGTTTATTTGAAATATTGTCTTTGATTTATCGGGCCATAAGAAGAGTTTTCTTTGGGGGTAAATATTAAGATGAATAAACACAGTTGCTGTATATTTTGACCCTGATTTAAATTCCTGCCACGTTAACATTTTACAGTGCTTTCACCGGTTTTGATAGGTTTTGTGGAAGCAGGTCTCATTGGTTGCTTCTTAAGTTTAGTTTAATACATTTTAACCTATTATTTTAATTATTTTAGTGTTCCACACGCAGGAAAGCTTCTAACAGGCATGGCCTCTAAATTTACTACAGACGAACAGATTTCTAAGGTTTGTATAAAAATATTTAGTTTAGTTTTAAAATGAAAAAGACAATAAAGATTATATTTCACGTACAAGGCGTCTATGTATCTCTTTATACGTATTTCGGCTTAATAGGCCTCATCAGAACAGCTATTCATAGGCGTTCTCAACGTGAAAAATAAATCTTTTCTGTCTTTAAGAAGCAACATTAAAATGGCTTCGATATGGACGCAATAGCGACATCTGATAATAAATCCATAAAATAGTTTCGAAACCAATTCAGATTTCTGCTTTAATCTGAACCTTTTAAAAATTGCAAGGTAAACAGACGTTGATAAAGATGTTAAAAGAGACATGGGGAATCTAAAATTTGCATTCCACGACATGTCTCCTCAACTAAGCAGAAATCCTTAGCGAATTGGTTTCTTGTACTCATACAGAGTAGATCCGAATAAAATAAAAAAGACAGTCAAGATTAAATTTCACGTACAAAGCGTTTATGTATCTGTTTATACGTATTTCGGTCTAAGAGGTCTCATCAGAATAGCTATTCATAGGCGTTCTCTACGTGAAAAATAAATCTTTTCTGTCTTTACATTAAACATTAAAGTGGCTTCGATATGGACGAGTTTAGTTTTAGTTTTAGAAATCTTGTTTTACTTATAATATTAGCCTTATCAACTGCTAATAATAAGAGAGAATACATAAAATGAGACATTGTCTGTCTCTGAGGAAAATATAATGGAGCTGAAGGAGTATATACTTATTAGCTTGTTATATCACATTTATAAGTTGTTTATTTATAAGTTGGTTATGAACTAGTGGGTTGACACTAAACACAGACTTTTCTCGACCTTGTAAACATGCAGAATTTAGTGCTGGATATGGAACAAAGAATCATTTTTAAATGATGACATCATTAATTAAAAAAACCAATATGGCAGCTTTATAATTTCTACTTATCTAGCAATGTGATGGTACCCAGAGAAACTGAGGTAATCTTTCATTTTGTTGGCATGTTAAGAGTTTCGCCTTAATTTAAAGCAGGGCGGGATGGTTGGGGTACAATTATTGCTTTAGGGCTGTTAATGCAGAGAGTATTTGATGTCATGTGTGTTGGTAAACGTTAATGCCTGGAGGACAAGAAAAGAGTTTAGATGAGAATATGGAGGTTTGAAGAGGTAGCTGGTAGGAAATGTTATAATTATTTGTTTTGAAATTCACTCGTAGTCCGTTTGCAGATCTGGATGCGTTAGTAAAAATAAGGATATAATCATTAAAACCATTTAATATCTCAAGTTCTTTCTGTTTGAAAATTTTGGCTGGTGTGTCACATTCCATGAATGCAGAAATTGTATTCAAATCAGGGAGAGCAACATGTAATGGTTGATTTTTGGAATATTGCAACTGGGTGGAATTATTGTGTCTAAGCTTAGTAGCATTGTTTTTACTCGATGATAAAACCTGGGATCCAATCCTTTTCCACAATTAAACATCCATGGAAATCTACCTGTACCTAAATGTGTTTTTATAAACAGGTACCTGTGGGATAACTGATACTCTTGAGGCATATATGAGGCTAAAATGTCCTCTCCTGAGTGGAAGGCATGGTTTGTGTGCATATTAAATTCTGTTTGAATAAAATCAAATATATGATGATATACTAAAATTATATTTTATTTTTAGCTACAAAATTTCATTGGAGAATTGGACACAAATTCAACTTTAAAATTAATAGCAGAATCAGCACTAACTGCGGCTAGAAACAATTTAAATGAGCGAATATCACTTCAGCTTAAATTGGAAATCATTTTCGCTCAACAAAAATCTTAGCTTAAATTATTAATTTTAACAATAACTGCATCGTTATTGTTATTAATTAAAAATATGTCATATTGTATATATGTATTTCAAAAAATTCATTATAAAATTATAATAATATTATAATACAATTTATGATTTACAATCTACAAAATAAGTTATAATCCGGTATTTTAATATTTTAAAATACACCGAAATTATCATTGTAATTGTATTGCAAATTGTATCCATTAGAAATTGTTTTATTGTAAATAAAAATAAAGACACTTTTACTTTTTGTCTGTTCGAAATAGAATTACTTCAATTCTAAGAAAACGATCGCAAAGCTGAAAGGTCCTAACTGAGAAAATCGTAGTTTTGGAACAGTACTGGGTGGTAGCGAAAAGCATTCTGTATCTTCCTTTCAAAGCTGATCTGTCCTATGTGTCATTAAATAGCTGTTCTAAAGTGATCCTTGTTGTCCTAAGTTCAAACTAAAACCTGATTACTAAGCAGTACGTCCTATCTGAGCTTTACAAACCTGAAGTGTCCTATTGTAACAGATAGGCCAGTCAGTAGTGCAATATGTAATGCTACCCAAAATACATGCTCTAAGTGATAGATAGGACATATTCAGCATTGCACCTTAAAACAACATAACCTAAAAATCTAAAATATTTGTTTTTTTAGTCTTGAACATTCTTTATGTCATTTAGTCATGATATTCTTTACTTGAACATATAAAGTCTTTTCGACCTACCGTATCTCATTATCGTCGGGAGCATGCTCCAAATAGTCTATATATACCATCGGATATTTCAATTACAATGGTGTACAATGACTACAAAATAAAGAATCTTGATTGTCAGGGTGGTTATGAACCCTATCGTCAGAAAATTGCAAAACTCAACACATCGTTTGTACAACTTGGCTGTGAAGAGTACTTCCAGTGTGCATCATATGATCTCCATAAGACCGAAACCAATCATATTAATCCAACACACAATTGTGTAGTGTGTGAAAACTATGTATCTCACAGAAATAAATATATAACTGACAGAAAAAGTATGAAAAACATGCAGAATCGCAACTAAAATCATCAATCTCATAGTTTCAGCAGATCTTCAGAAAGTAAATGCTTTCAAGAGCAGATATGTTTAAATAAGTCATTTTTACTAGGCGCATAATTACTTTTAACGGAAGTTTTGTTGCTGTCGGAAAGATAGGGACGTCCGTCCTTTAGTAATTCTGCGACACGAAGGAATATCAGGAAGAAGAAAAGAAGATATAGTGAAGAAGATGTATACTTTCTACGCATTGTACCTAAAAAACAGGAATAAAGAATCAATAACAATTTGGTTGGATAAGAACAAGAACAAGAATTGGTGTTTGTTCAGCTTTTTAGTCTATATAGTAAATGCTATAGAAGTACTGTATTAAAATAATAAACCATAAAATATTTTGAGCGCGGACACACGTTTATGTCCGTTATGACCATTTTCACCACCAGGTAGAAAAATCATTAAAAAGGGTCAAAACTATTTTTAACTGCAGGTACATTTAAAACTGGTGTGACACTTCCACCTCCACAAACCTCTAACCGAAGAATTAGTCAAGGGAGAACGCAGAATTGCTGCTATAACTATAATTCCAGCTCCAGCCCACTACTTATATGTATACTTAATCTATGCTCCAGCCGACTGGAGACAGTTTTGGGAAGAATTACTGGTAGGCTATGTAGCTGAAGAACATGAAAATGGAGTATGTATTATAAGATTTTTTACAATATTAGAGGGCTATACTAATGCAATGTAAAAAATAAATGTCTCGTTATAAGTCCAACAAAAGTTCGTTATAAAAAAATCTTGTCCTATCTGAGATTTTTAATAAAATTCTAAGCTAAACCGTCCTATCTATCAAAATTCATGTATGCTCTAAACTAATTACTTCTATAAAGGATCCGATAAAATTGCTAGTTGCTTAAAGAAATATCTTGTTAAGTTTGACGTTCATGGTGACACACTTTATGCTGTATCTAATAACTGCTGTGGTCAAAACGAGAATTACACTATCGTAGGATTTTAGCTACAACCTCTGACATCTAAAAGGTTTAAAAAAATAATTCACGTTTTTCCACAAGTAGGGCACACTTATAGATTTTGAATTAGTGGAAAAATTCGCAAAAACTTAGAATGCAGTATACTATCCTAGTGAATGAATAGAAGTTTTGAAGGGAGTCAAAAAGAAAAGGCCATTTATTGTAACGCCTCTTAAACGAGAAGATTTTTAAAATTTTTATAAATTAAGAGAAAATTTCAGCAAATCGAATTTTAGAATAAGCAACTCCGTGACGCTGGAGTTTAATAGTAATAATCCTTATGTCATGCTTTCTTATAACATACAATGGAATTCCAGAATCCATAAGTCTTAAGAAAAAAAGAGGTAGATCTAGTCTCTCACTGGAAGAAGATTTTAATAGAAACTTGACTCAAAAGTATCCAGAAACTAGGCCATGTGATTCCATGCCTCCAGTGACGCATGAACTAGAAAAAGAGTCAAAACTAGGCCATGTGATGTCATGCCTCCATTGGATTCCACCAGTACATCATTCTTTCTACTATACACTGAAATCTCAAGATTTAACAGTTTAAAATTATTTTTTATGTTTATTTTTTGTTTAAATTCTGTTCATCTCGTGTTTTCTTATAAACTTTGCTCAAATAAAGTTATCTTAAACTAAACAATTTTATGCTAACGACACAGTAATTAATAACATGTTAAGTGTCTTTATAGTTTCTTAACAGATTTTTATTTCCTTAACTGACGGATAAAAACTTGTTAAGTAACATTTTTTTTCTAAATTTCTTCTTAAAATTTGAAAAAAATTAATTTGATAAAAAACAATGTCTTTTTATTATAATATGAGAGCATTATATTTCTAAAATATTTTATTTAACGGCTGATTTAAAACAAAAAAATATTTTGTTAGTCTTTAGATTCAAAATGTGATATTACCAATTTTTTTATTTTGTCACTTAACTAGTGTTACGACCGGGCCCCAATTACATCTTATTATATATTCTACAGTTCAAAGACTTTAGTGCAGCCTGGTTATGAGAATCAATAGATAATTTGTCGGTATTGGGGCGATATTTTTATGAACACTTACACATAACATATTATATAGTATATTTGAAGAATAAGCTGGAGTAAATTCTCAGAATACTAATCTTCGCACCTCGAAATACATAGGCGTGCACATCTTCTAACTAAAACGCAATCTTAAAAGAAAAGTTTGCGTTAAATTTATTGGGATATTTAGAACAAAGTAACTAATCCAATCCAATACTGGTTTAAAATAAAAAGATACACATAAAAAGAATAAAAATTCTATTATTTGTGAAACATACAGTTAATATAAAATAATAAAATACAATAAATTATACTGAAACGTAAAATACATACACAAAAACTGTAAGTTTTTATATATTCCTATTAATAAATAATAATATTCTTAATACTAATAATATTGGAGAAAAGAATGAAAATTAAATTAGCAATAAAAAATAAATAAAAAATAAACAATGAAGTTGTCAGCAAATGTAAAATAAACTTCTAAGCTACAGTTTAAAGTTAAGCTTCCTCATATTCTGTTTCAGACGAAGTGTTATCCGATCCGGGATGAATTATTATAGGTTCTATACAGCTATCTATTATATGATCAAGCTCCCACATATTTTTCTCAATATCCATAACGTAATTAATACATTTTTGTCAATGTTTAGTAGTTACTTCGGATATTGATTTATGAAAAAGAATAGTAACATCTGACAATTTAAAAGTTGTATTATTTCGAGCTACGTTACTTTTAACTTCGGCCCATACTAATTCAATCGGATTTAGCTCGCAATGATACGGCGGTAGGCGAAGTATTTCAATTCCTCGTTTTTTGGCTATTTCCTCAATGACATATTTTTTATAATTTTGTTTATTTATTTTAGCAAGCTCTAATAATTCTGCTTTTGTCATTGTATCGTCAAAGAATAAATTCTTAGAAGTTACCCACATTGCAATTTCATCTTTCCTCCATTGAGTAGTTGGTAAACGTTCAACTAATCTAGAGTGGTTACTTGCATTGTCCATCACAATAACTGAATTTTTAGGTATGAATTCAATCATCTGTTCGAAATATTCTTCAAACACGTCTCCGTTCATCTCTTCGTGATAATAATCACAGGTCTTTTTTGATTCAAACAAAAGTAAACTCTCATTAAGAAAACCATTCATACTACCTATATGGGTAACAATTAATCGTCGACCTTTACCTATTGGTTCCTTGAAACCAGGCGAATATCCTTCCAGAAATGCTTGTCGACATGTTTTTATAGTTTTGTCTTTCCAAACTCTTCCTACAATATGCCCTTCATTAACCCACGTTTCATCTAAATAATAAATGTTTTTATTTTCGGTCCTCATTTTTTTTATTTTTCTAAGGTAGTCTAGTCTCAAACACACAATTTCTTCGGAATCGATAAGCATTGACTGTCTGCCCACTTTTTCATACTTAAAGTTTAACTCATGCAAAGTTTGTCTCTACTTATTGTGGGTAAATCGGAATCGTCGGTAATAGCTTGTAAAACTTTATATAGAGTTGGTATTTGTTTGTTAAAAAAAATGAGTGGACCATTCTACGAATTGCATTTTTGAAAAATTCATCCAAATTCACTTTCGACAATTTTGGTCTTCCTGGTCTCGGTATGAGTGGCGTCATACCGGCTGATTTTTCCTCTTTTAAAATGTTATATACAGTTGATTTTGAATATCCCACTACTTTAGACGAAATTTCAACTATACTATCAACATTATTGGAGGGATTGTCTTGCTTAAAATATTTGTAGACGTTAAGGATAACATCTTTTCGTTAAGTGACAAATGAGTCAACTTTAATTTTTTAACTAGTGTATAATCACACGTTAATTCCATATTCTATATAATCACTATTCACTCTTGCAAAAAACAACTGTGTCAGATCTCTTCACTCGCTTATAATCGACTAAACAAAAATTTTCTGATATTAATGAATGACTATTTAAAGACCATTAACCATTTTATTAATCATTGGTTTTCCAAACAAAATCGAAATTTATACTATTTAAGATAGCGTTCACATTTATCAGAAACCATATTTCGCTAATCGACTTTTTCTATCTAAACTATCAAAAGACAATTAACTAAATACCTATGTATTTTAAGAGTTTCTTTATTTCTGGTTATTTAATGGGTCATTATCATAACGACAAACATAACTATAAATAACGTTACTAAAATAAACAGATTTATATAAATATAATATGCTTTGAAAACGGTTTAAATATCTAACAAACCGAAACAAATAATGTAATACCCTTAAAGTACGTCTATGATCAGCAGAAAAAACCCTAGCCTACACAGTTCTAACAATAGCAGGTATTTAAATTTTACGATAGTCCATGTGACATGGAAAAATTTCTATCTAAATAGTCAAACCCAACGTAAAATAAGCTAAAATATTGAAGTTGTACGAAAATCACACGTACTAAAATATGATTAACAATTTAGTTTTTTTTCTGAGAATTTACTTCAGCTTATTCTTCAAATATACTATAGAACTATTCCCGAGGGCTATTGTCCTGTAGTTCAAACACTTGGTCCTGATATAAATATAGTCATAGCCCAATAAAAATACACAATATTATTAATATTTAATTATTTTATAATTAGCATTGAAAAATAAAATTTTATGTACATCAATATTTCTAAGCAGGTCTTCTTATCAGATATCTACATAAATAAAGCTACACTTAACAATAATAAAGGTAGTAATATCCCAAAAGAATTTACTGGAGACCCGGATTTATCAATACCGAAGTAATCGTCAAGGTCATCTTCAATTCGAGACCTAAATTGTAAATTCTGTTTTGCTGTAGTTAAAGCTGAATTTGCAGCAGATCTAATTGTTGAGTTCTTCTCTAGCCGATCAGCGAATTGTTGCAACTAAAAAACAATTAAATTTTTAAACAATTCTTTACTGGTAAGAGCAAATCATTAAAATCCTAGTTAAATTCCTAACTGATAGTGACGAATGGGTCACAGCTAATCTAAAAAATCAGCTAGCTCTGCCAACGATTACCTCCTACGTCCACGAAGACAAAAATAGCGTAATTTCTGGCAATATATGGCATATTATGTGCGTACATTATATAGTAGAAGGAGGGTGAAAGGCGGGTTTCAACGCCTTATAACCTGTACTGACAGAGTGGTAAGATACGCTTTACAACCGCCAACATGAGCGACATATTCAAATCAATGCCCCCATTCTCTGTAGGCCTAAATTGCCTTGAACTTGGTAGCTTTCGAGATCAAGCCAGGAGGTCAGAGGGTGCCAAAAATCTGCGGAGTTTAAACCGCCACTTACATAAAAGCCTTTATATAACCACATACTACTTCTACTTGCTATTAATTCAATCCAGACTTTAGCACTAGAAAAAGGCACTTAAAATAAAATGAGACATAATAAGAATTAGCAAGGTATGACTGTTAGATGAAGAGCTATTGGACTTAGCGTCAGGAAATACATTATACTACCGAGGAACATCAACGAATAGAACAAGCGGTATTAGATTCCAAATCAACAAGATATAAAAAGAAAGTAGTAGAAATAACTAGTATCTCGGATAGAGTAGCTAGCTTAAACTTACAACTATAAAAGAGATACAATATACAAATTATACAAACATACGCCTTAACGATTACTTACACTGACGAAGAAGTAGAGAAACTTTACAGTAGCTTAACTTAAGCATAAAGTAACAATAAAAGTCACTTTAATATTTAATTAGTAACTTTAATGCCAAAGTGAGAAAGAGAAACGGCAATTAACAAGTCATGAGAAAGTATGGAGTTGGTGAGAGAAATGACAGAGGAGAAAGACAAATATACTCTTTGTCTTGTAGTCTATATACTTGTCTTTCTCCCCTATATATGAAATACATTGTCTGTATTTCTTTGTTAGAAAAAATCGAACAGAAAATGGACTTGAATGGAACCATTAAGAAAGAAATTGACTTCATTCTAACAAGATTGCTACAATAAAAGATGTCAGTGTAATAAATAAATTTCAAGCCGGCAGCGACCATAGACTAATCAGAGCAAAAATTGTTCTAAATCCGAAACTAGAAAGAATAAAATTAATCGAAAAACCAACAGTAACCTATATACCTAACTATTAACAATCTAAACGAAAACTCAGATCACTATCAAAGGACCATTGATAAAAGGTAACATGAACAAATCATCCTTGACAGTGCTAAAGAAATCGGAGGACCAAAACAACAAATTAAACATAATAAAATATCTGATGCAATCAAAATATTGCTAAAACAAAGAAAGAAAAATAAAAGTAGGTATCAACATACAGAGAATACAATACACAGATTTTTTTAAGACAATAAGGAAAAGTATTAAGGAAGACATCTTCTTCTTCAGATGCAAATCCACTAATGGATGTTAGCGATCACATTTTCCATTAATTCTCTCTTTCTCTATCAGAGATTGTATGTCGTTAATCCCTAACCATTTACTCACTCTTTCAATGGACTTAGTATTCAGTGTTATGGTGGAGTTTTCAAGTGCATCTAAGTTTCTGGAGATGATCATAAATTTGGTCTTTTTGGTATTAATCTCTAATCCCATTCGCTTACTGTATTCTCCGATTATAGTGACAAGTTGTTGAAGATCGACTATGTTGTCACAAATTAAGACACCATCATCAGCATATCGTATGTTGTTGATCAATACTCCATTCACCTTGATTCCCATCTCTGCATCCTCCAAAGACTCTTGAAATATGGCTTCCGAATAAATGTTAAATAAAAGAGGGGAAAGCACACATCCCTGTCGAACGCCTCTTCTTATATGTATGGGTTTGGATATAGAATTGTCTATTTTTAACTGTGCCGTTTGATGCCAGTACAAGTTTTCAATGCATCTTATGTCTTTTTGGTCCATATCAACTTTCTTGAGAATCTGCATTAACTTGTGGTGTTGGACACAATCAAACGCTTTTTGGTAATCTAAAAAGCATAGGACAACATCCTTCCTCTGATCGTAGGAAGACATAAGAAAATACAATTGAAGCTTGGTAGAAAATGCAATTGAAAACGAAAAAAATTTTAACAAAACTAAAAAAAGCGTTAATCAATGGGAAGAAGCAAATCGTTGCTCTAACAAATATTAACACCAGAATTACAGACATAAATGAAATAATACAACTCTTGACTAAATTCTACAGCGAACTATAGAAAACTCCTGAAACACTTCAAGTAATCAAGAAGATGTGAGAATGATTTAAATGCTCATCCAGACAGTTCTTGAAAGCAGTATTAAACAGAATTCAAATAATCACAATGATCGTCAACATTCAAAAGAAGATGACATCTTAAGAAGAAAAATGAAAACGATGTAGATAATAAAACAGTAGAAGAGAACTTCGGTACGGTGTGGATGGCGGAAATGGCAACCCTCGATTTTAGGGTTGATATAGAATCAAAACAGTAGCGTCTGATCCAGAATGGACGGCTGCGAACAGCGTCTGACCCAGAATGGGCGGCTGATATAAAACTCACCAACCCGTCTAGCCAGCGTGGTGTTTCAAGGCTAATCATCCTTCCAAATACAGAAATGGCGAATACTAAAACGAAACGGAACGGTCCCCAGGTGGGTGGAGTATGTTATGCCAAATCCCACACCCAGAAAAGGGTCTGCCTCGTGGAATATGGGGGAGGCAAGAATTCGCTTAGTACACACAGAATGCACATCGGAACATATAATATCAGAACGATGAGGACAGAAGATAACCTAGAAGAGTTGCAAGAAGAACTTAAGACCATCAAATGGGACATAGTAGGCCTATGCGAGACAAGGCTTAAAGGCGAAGAATCGACTCTACTAAAATCAGGGCACACTTTGTACCAATACAATTCAGGAAATAACCAAGGTATAGGAGGCGTAGGCTTTTTAGTACATAAGAGAATTGAAAACATGGTAACCAAATTCCAAGCAATTTCTAATAGAGTTATCTATATGGTAATAAAACTAAATCGTAGATACAGCATTCAAATAATCCACTGTTATGCACCAACTTCTTCTGCAGATGACGAAGAGGTAGAACAACTTTATGAAGACATTACAAGAGCCAGAAACCTAGAGAAAACATATTACGTAATAATTACGGGAGATTTCAACGCTAAAATAGGAAAGAACGAAAATAACAACGACAACGAATATATTGGAAATTTTGGACTGGGAAGTAGAAATCATAGGGGAGATATGCTCGTAAATTTCCTCAGCAAAGAAAAACTATTCTGCTTAAATACCTTCTACAAGAAAAAGATGCAGAGAAAATGGACGTGGTTAAGCCCAGATGGCAAAGTAAAAAATGAAATTGACTTTATACTCTCTAACTTCAAAAACATTGCTAAAGATCTTACTGTACTAAATTCTTTCAACACTGGTAGTGATCATCGATTAGTTAGGACGCGAATAGAAATAAATACGAAATTAGATAGAAGAAAATTATTAACACAGGATAAATTGCCAAACATAGAAGCACTCGAAATGAATCAAGAGGAATATCAAAGTGAACTAAAAAAGAAACTAGGGCCTCTACCAGTATTCAACACGAAAGATATAAATGAAATAACACAAAAATTAACGAACGACATAACATCAACTGCAAAAAAGATCTGTGATAAAAATAAAAATCCCAGAAAAACGAAACTGAAACAAACAACACTTAATTTAATGGAAGAAAGAAGAAGAACATCGAAAGAATTACCAGAGTATAAAGCTATCAACAATAAAGTTAAAAAGAGCATAAGGTCAGACTTGCGGGCTTATAAAACAAAACAAATATTGCAAACCATCGAAAACAATAGAAACATGAGAGTATTGAAATCAAATTTAACTAAAGGAAAATCAAATATAACTAAAATCAAAAATCAACAGGGGAATACGGTGACCGAAAAAACTCAAATAATCAAGGAAATACAAACGTTCTATAAGAATCTTTATACATCTACTATACAGAACCCCGAACCAGACCACAGAACAATTCTAAACGTCGGCTCAGAAACCCTCCCTAAAATAACCTCTTCGGAAATTAGACATGCCTTACAGCAAATGAAAAACAAAAAAGCTCCCGGCGAGGATCGTATAACGTCTGAAATGTTAAAAATGGGCGGCAACATCGTTGTAGAAGTTGTGGAAGTCTTACTGAATAAGTGTCTAACAGAAAAAAGAATACCCAGCCTATGGGAAAACGCCGAAATAATACTTTTACACAAGAAAGGAGACACTACTAATATTGAAAACTACAGACCTATTAGTTTGTTGTCACACTTATACAAATTGTTAACAAGAATAATAACCAACCGCATAACACAAAAACTTGATTTATATCAACCGGTTGAACAGGCGGGATTTAGAAAAGGGTTTGGCGCTAATGATCACTTACAAACCATCAGAACACTAGTAGAAAAAACCACAGAATATAATGTACCTTTACATATGGCATTTATCGACTTTCACAAGGCTTTCGATAGTATTGAGACTTGGTCCTTTTTGTCAGCCCTGAAGGATGCTCGAATAGACTCACGGTACACTACACTCATTAAAAACATTTATGAACAGGCCACATTCCACATCAAAATCAATGAAGACGAAAAAACTGAAAAAATGCGCCTTGATAAAGGTATTAGACAAGGTGATACTATTTCACCAAAGCTTTTTACCTTAGCATTGGAAAATGTATTCAAACAGCTTGACTGGGAGGAAAAAGGTGTAAACATTGATGGTGTACGTTTGAGTCATTTGAGGTTTGCGGATGACATAGTATTATTTAGTACAGATATCAAGGAACTGGAGCAAATGTTGAAGGAATTAAACCAGCAGTCAAATAAAATAGGTCTCAAAATGAACCTGCAGAAAACAAAAATAATGAGTAATTCACAAACTAATCTTGTTATTGACAACGTCAGTCTTGAAAATGTAGACCACTATATATATCTTGGACATACCATTAAAATCGGCAAAGAAAATCAAATAGCCGAAATAAAAAGACGCATACAACTGTCTTGGGGAGCTTTCGGCAAATTAAGCTTTATTTTGAAGAATAAAGATATACCAATGTGTCTAAAACGTAAAGTTTATGACAAATGTATCTTGCCTGTAACTACATATGGACTGGAGACCATGGCCTTCACAAAGAAAACCTTAGAGCAGCTCAGTACAACCCAAAGAGCAATGGAGAGGGCCATGCTAGGGATTAGTTTGAGAGACAGGATTCGAAATAACGTCATTCGTGAAAGAACAAAAATTACTGATGTCTCAGAACGTATTGCAAGGCTCAAGTGGCAATGGGTCGGACACGTTGCCCGAGATAATCCCGAAAAATGGTCACAAAGATTAACAAACTGGAGACCAAGAGAGAACAGGCGAGGAGTAGGCAGACCGCAGAAGAGGTGGACAGACGATATCAAACAAGTCGCGGGCAAGCAGTGGATGAGAATTGCCAAAAGTAGAAATCGATGGAAGCAAATGGAAGAGGCCTATGTCCAGCAGTGGACGAACACAGGCTGAAGAAGAAGAAGAAGAAGAAGAAGAGAACAATGTATAACTAAGAGCGATTACAAAAATCAAGTAAAACAAAAGTTACTCTGCTTTAAAAATCATAGTTTCATAAAATTAAATTCTACTTTCTACGTCATTTTTACGTATAAAGGAAAACTCACCTTTGTTACCTCCGCATTACTTGTAAATCTGTTCGTCAATTGAGATAATAATGATATACCCTCGGGATAACTAAAAAAATATTTTTCATTGAGTTACTAATAATTTATTATATATTAGACAACTTACTATTCAATAATTTTTTTGTAGTTGTTAACGAAATATTCAAAAGCATGATCTAAACCTTCTTTACTGGCAGAAGCAACTGAAGTCCATACGGTAAATAGGTTTTGAAGTTTTATTACTGATGAATTTGTGGTTGCATCCAATAATCTAAAAAGTGTATAAAATATAAAGGATTAGTTAAACATGGTCGAAGGGTTAAATCATTTTTATGTTCTACAGTTTGCAGAAGAGGCAAATATGACCGACTACTTTACAATCAGTGAGATATATTCTTCTTCATATACTATGTCCTTGCAGAACGTTGGTTACCAACATAGCTATATTAATTTTATTCAATGCTCCCTAAATAGTATCCTTGTATCAATACTAATCTCGTGAGTTCTTTAACCATAAAGTGTTTCTTCCTCCTGGACTACGTTTGCCTGCTAAGGTATCTGAAGATAATATCGCCAAGCTAAAGTTTAGAAGTTTTTTGTTGGATAGTGGGTCATATTTAAACAGATGTCATCAGTTGAGCTATTCAATGAACTACTTTAAATTACGTAGAAACTATTAACATAATAACTTGAGTATTTTAACACATATGTGTATAGTAGGTACTGGACAATTTAAGAAAAAGTCATGTTTAGCAATATTTCCTACCCTTGTTGGCAATATCGCCAACCTGTTATTTCCAATGCAATACGGTCTAAAAGATCAGTAGGAAGACGCCAGAACTCATGGCTGAAAGACCTTATAATCAGTATATTTGCTGAAAAATATTAATTAGTAAGCATTTAAGAAAAATAAGGACAAATATATGATTGAACAGTGTTTTCTTTTGTTAGTCCAAGGCAGTCTATACAAATAAACGTTGCGTAATCTCATATCGGCTACTCTATCCCCGTTACACGCTTTGCAAATCTAATTTGTCTTGGTACTTAAAGAACCTTTCTTAAATACTTTGCAGCGGCTTTTCTTTTTGCTCGTGTCGATTTTTGTGTCATCAGGAATAGTTAGCGTATCTGAAAATGAAATGTTATGTTTTTCTTTATTAAAAGTTTTCTCACTTTACTCTATATCATTAGAATCACTGCTGCTTACGGCAGAGCGCTTTTTAATTTTTCCCACCTTCAACGTACTTGGAAAAGGTGACTGCCTATGGGAAGAATGTGCTTGAAGTGGATAATTCTCGGATAATGGTTCATGGGGTCCAAAGGGATGATCAATTACTATACTAATTACTATTTATAACTGGGAATAAGCCACAATTAAAGATAAAAATACGTTTATTGACGTTTCAATTTCCAATTCGGAAATCGTTCAAGGAGAACGATTTCCGAATTGGAAATTGAAACGTCAATAAACGTATTTTTATCTTTAATTGTGGCTTATTCCCAGTTATAAATAGTAATTAATTTACAATGCCACAAGAAAATAGCTTCAGAACAATATTACTATACTAGTAGCAAACGTCTCTATTTTATTGCGTCTGGATTCAGATGATAGATGCTTTTTACCGAAAATCTCGATTTGATGTTAGCAGGTGCCATGAACTTATCCCATACTATGGAGAAAATGGTTCCGAAACGTTGCCTCGCTATTGAACGATCTCTGTTTTGAGTACAGTATTTTAAAACGCCCCAGAAGTGCTCAAAGGATCTAAAAACTGCCTTATGTATGGCGCAATGGCGCAATGACGCAAGCTTTCAAAATGGCGCAATCAATCTTTAAAAGTCTCAATTGTCATGCTGTATTATGAAACATTTTACTTGCCAAGTAAAATTTAGTTTGAAAGTAAAATAATTTACTCTACAGATTTGCGTATTATAAACACATAGTAAATTAATTCTGGAAGTAAATCTGCAAACTAAACTATAAAGAATCTAATATATTATGTTAGCAAGATAACGTAAAACATTACCACATAACGTTTTTTTTTGACAAACGTTATCTGTGATACAGCACATCAATTTTTAGAATTTAACGTAAATGCAGGTTAACGTGCACGTTATTTAACATTTATTTTATTTATAAAACATTTTTGTTTTGATACATCCATCCAATCACAGGGCTGAATGTTAAGATTCAAATTACGTCACAGGAGTACAATCCGGCTTAATGTTCATTGGTTAGGCGGAAGAGGCAACCGTAGTAAGTCTAGGAACCGTGACCAGGGGTAATGAATCTGACCATTAGACCAGGAATACAGGTATCCATCGCGTTACCACAGGATATTATTGTAACATTATTTTTTGAGATTTATGGACCTCCATAATCCAAACTTCTTTATTTCCTGCAGTGGATTCGGTGAACTTTTTAAATTAATGACAATTTAAGGCCAAAAATACACTATTTTAAGAATTTTCGTTCACCAGTAAAACATAAAGCTAAAAAAGTTTAACGAATTTAAAGGAATGTAATTATTTCATAAAACGTATTTAAAGCATTAAAATAGCGATCTTTGAATTTTGATTTACTAATTTGTTGCTAAGAAATAGATAATATAAGTGAAGATACCATGTAGACTAAAGATAAAAAAATTCAACGTTTTAAAATTACCTTGTTAAGTAGGGTTTGTGTTTTGTACATCCTAAACTCAGCAAGATATAAAGATCTTCCTGAGGATGAATAGAGCTCAACAGCCTGTTCCATAGGAACTCCCAATCAGCGGCAATGTTGTTACTATTTCTTAAGGCATTGCAGTATACTACATCTCTTATATTTGGGTTTACGCTAAAAAATAATTACGTAAGTAAGATTAGCACAAAGAATCAAATATAACCAACATACAAATAAAAGTACACAGAGCTTCTAAAAACTCTTATACAAAGTGGGGCAAAAGTAATCACCCGATAATATTTTGCTGTAATTTTTTTCTTTAATGAAAAATTTTGGATCAGTTTGTGAAATTTGATTATTTAATACATTAAAATTTATTACATCAAATCGAGAAAACAATATCGGTTTTATGGCATTTTCCATCACTCTTGCCAGTCATTAGGGCGACAGGTTCTTGCATACCTAGTGAATATTCTTCTTAACCTTAGAGTGGTAACGTACGGTCCCTGACACCGACGTAGTAGATTTTTCGCGCTAAAACTCAAATGCGCATATTATTTTGTCCGCGCAGCCAGGTTGCGTTAGAGCCTCATCACGCCTCATCACGCTATTAATTTATTCTTGCAAAATCTGTGGCTGAGTACGGATAGTTCATGTGTTATTCGACCTTACGGTGTAAGCGACTGGTATATGAAGATTTACAACAAAGCATTGAACAGAGATCAATGGAAGGAAGTGGTTAACCCGGCACCTGCCACGTGGCTTTGCAAAACGTCAACTGCCACGTGGGGTGCTCATAGTACCCCTTAAAACTTTTCTGTGATCTACGTGTTTATAAACAAAATAATAGGCTGAGTAATACAAAAATATAAAAAAAACATGTTTTATTAACACCTACTAATATTATAAAAGTTAAAAAATAAAACTAAAAAGTTATTATGAACAAATTAAGTAAAACTCATTAGCAGCTATCATCGGATTCTTGTTCTTCTTCCTTTTGGTTAAAACACTTTTCACAAATATGTTTCATGTGATTTAGGCACATCTGTTGGTAACATTTTTCGCAGAAAAAGTTTGTTTTTTTGTCATCTTTCCTTGGACAAATAGAGCACCTTGCCTTTTTTCTGGGCGGTTCTGTTGTTTCGTTTGATTCAGTAGAGCCTCCAATATATTTTATTGCCTTCTCACGTATTGTACGCGGAATGTGTGAGTTAGCTGATCTGACTTTCAACCAATCTTTCACAAGATCGAACCCTAAGTCCTGCAGGTAAATCCTCCGTTCAATTGTTTTGTTGTTAATATTATTCGCAGTGTGGATAACGTGGCTATTGATGCCAGCTATGTCGAGCATTCTAAAAAATACAACACATGGCCATCTTCGACATGTTCTGGCAGTGGAATATGAACCGCATAGCTCATCCACCTTGTCCACGCCGGACTTGGTTTGGTTGTAAAATGTAATTATATTTGGAAGATTCTTATCTCCTGTGCTCTCATCAATAGAATCGTCTTCTAAATGCATTGACGATAACATCATTACATTTTTATTTCTCTTAGGTATATAAGATAAAATTGTCATATTGTCGGTAAATGCAAATTCTGAACTTTTGAGTGGTCTTCTTTTAATTTCCACAAACTGTTTAGGTATCTCCCTTTTATTTTTACGCATAGTTCCGACATACGTCAATTTCTTTTGTAGCAATTCTACGGCAAGTGGAACACTTGTGAACCAATTATCTCCAGTAATGTTGCGACCAGAATTCCAAATTGGCTTAGATAGCCGCATAACTATGTTATTTGCACTGTTTGATACCGCATAAGGTCCTTCAGGTTGTTGGCCTACGTATATTTCAAATGTCAATGAGTACCATGTTTTGGCATCGGCAATACTAAATATTTTTATGCCATACTTAGCTGGCTTACTCGGTATATATTGCCGAAATGAACATCGTCCTCTAAAAGAAACCAGCTGTTCATCAATAGTGCAGTATTCAGATATGGAATATACGTTTACACAGTTATTTTGAAAAATTGTAAAAACATCACGGATTGGAGCAAGTTTGTCAATTTTACGTCTTTCACTGCGTGTGTCTATGTCGTCAAATCGAAGGCATTTTATTAGCATGAAGTACCTATGGAGACTCATTGTTGTTCTAAAAATGCCTATGCCCACTCTACCTTCTGACCATAAATCCTCCATGTTCTGACGTCTAGAACGAATAGACCCAGCAATATATAGTAAACCAAACAGCGCCTTCAGTTCAGCCATGCATGTTTCATAACTATGCTTTTTTTTATCACCGGTTTGTTGTTGAAGTTTTTTGTTTGTAGAATTTAATATTATTTCAAGAATATTTTCATCTATGAGCAAGTTCCAACATTCCAAAATTGTCTTACAATTTTTTGCACACTGTTTTACACCAGGTAAATGAACAACAAGGTTCTGCGATCTTGTACGAACATTTCTATTCCCCCTTGTAGTTCTCCATTTTGTAGTCCCATCCTTACCTACAACAGTATTTGCATCTAAAACAGATTCTTCGCCGTCCGAAGCTGCTGACATTTCTGAATCCGAATTGTGGTCGCTAAACTGGGTAGCATCTACTTCAGAATCAGATGAATCCTCAATCTCTGCTATATCATCTTGTTCCATCTCTTCTAGAAGAGCTCTCAAGCGGTTTTGTTCCTGTTCGTACCAAGCCATAATAAATTGGGCGTGAAGTAAAATATCTAAAAAAAATAATATTTATTTAGTATACAGCCTATATAATAATTTAAATCAGTTATTGCAATAAAAACTGTAAATATACCAACCTGTTTATCAAAAACACAAAAAAAAATTTAAAACTTAAACTGCCAGATGGGGATCTGATGACACTCCAGTCGACTTTATAGCTACAAGGTCAGAATGCCACTAAATAACCACTTCAAACTCAAATAGATCTATGCTGTACAATATTATAGAAAGCTACTATGACGCGCAGCAGTGTTGCAAAACTTGAAATACGAAATATTTGGTGAAAATGTGTTATGGGGTGCTGGTAGTACCCCACGTGGCAGGTGCCGGGTTAAGAAAGTTTGAAAAGACTATAAGAAATGGCTGTTGAACTTTATAAATGAATAAATAATTAACATGGTATAGTGTCTTAGAACTTAATAGGTACCACAAATAAATTAATTAAAGATGTTCAATAAACCAATTGACTAAATTTTGATTAGTTTAAAATATATGGTTTCCAGAAAAAAAAAATATACACTTAAAATGGCAAAAAATTATTACAAACCTAGTTTTGTTTAATCTGAATGCCTCAAACAGTCTCTTTGTCTCGGAAATACAACTTGCTTGACCTCTTTTACAAGCATCTGCCCACACTCTTTGTAGTTTCAAAGCAGTAACTTGATCAATTTCTTCCCATTTAGTAGAGGAAACGTTGGCTGAAATCTGACTTATGAGATCTAATACCATAGCATTTGTTCTTTTTCCCAGCTCTGTATTGGCTCCCAATCTTGTCACTAAATAATCCATATTTCTAATAGTAGTAAACCAGGGGAAGTAACTAGTTTCATTTTTTAAATATTTCAGAAGTTCAAAAGCTTCGGAATATTTAATGTATCCAGCCCTAGCTAGATTAAGTGAGTCGTCTATTATTTGAGCTCTGTTTAACTCCGAAATTTGAGTGTGATTTTGATTTAATAAAGATTTTATTCTTTGCGTTAATCTTGTGCAATATTTAACTCTGTAGTAACCTAAAAATAAAATTTGTATTAATCATAGTTAAATTCCATAATCCCTTTGAAATATTTCAAAGATTTCAGATTTTTCACCAAAAAACGAAGAATAAAAAGATTAAATATTATGATATAATATAGCTCTTATTGATAAATAAGCTCTTAAAATTAAAGAGTTTCTTTTTAATGTAATCCTGTCAATATTTGTATGAAATACTTTTTTTACTATCCGTAAATGTGGAATAACCATTATATATCCAGTTTTAAGAATATTTTTTTGAAGAATAAGTTGTAGTTATCTATCTGAATTTTAACATCGTAAATACATATGTGTGTGCCTCGTATTTATAATCAATTGTAAGTCTTGTATGGTCAATTCATAACCCATTATAATATTTATTTTCTGTGGTTATCTCCCTGATTATGGATAAATTATTAAAAAAGAGTAAGAACTAAAAAAGGATACCAAATGGGAGAAAAACAAATTAGGATGATCTGCTATGAGGATGACGCAATACTACTCTCTCAAAGTGAAGATGATTAACAACGTATGCTGCAATAATTCAATATAACCGCCAGAACATTTAATATTTTAATAAAAAAAAAACAAAATGTGTGGTTATAACATCAAATTTACTAAGATGTAAATTGGAGCTGGAAGGTCAAATAATAAAACAAATTAATAGAACAATAGATTACAAATCTAGGCATCACATTATCTAGCTACGGAAAGCTCAAAACTGAAGTGGAAGATCATGTGAATAGGGCAAACAGAGCTGCATATTGCTTAAATGAAACAATATGGAGAAATAAAAATATCGGGAACGAAATAAAAGGCAGAATTTATAAAAGTCATTAGACTAATAATGACATACGTGGCAGAAACTCGACGAGACACAGGGAGAACAAAAAGGATGTTAGAAACAGCAGAGATAAAAACGCTTAGAGAAACATTGATGGTAAGACACTACGGGCCGAGCTAGAAGTACAGATATAGGACATAGATGCAAGATGGAGAACATATGGACCCATCATATAAACCGAATGACAATAAAAAGAGTAGTAAAGACGGCAAGAGACGATTCCCCAATAGGAAGACGATCAGTAGGAAGTATAATGAAAACGATGGAACAAGAACTTACTGGGGACACATTGAAAAACAGACAGATTCATGTCTACATAAAAAGAAGAAGAATAATAAGAAGGTTATCTTCTGTTAAAGGTTTACAAATTGTTGGTTTAGATCTACAACCTCAGGAGCTCAAAATGTATTTCCCATTACACATGTCCTAGATAACAAGTTTTGCGGTTTTTGATAATGTTAATAAGATCTCTGCCATGATCCATGTTACAAAATACTGCCTCTTTGGTGACATGGTATATCCAGGTTGGTTTAAGAAGTCTTCTAAATACCCATATATGTCGAAGAGAATAGAATATATATTGTATGTATTCACGAATGGATATATAGCATACAGTGAGATAGGTATATTATTCAAAAGGTGTTCCATTTTAAGAAATGCAGATTTTGAGTATTCAATTCGAGCCTCGATTTCAACTTCCAGGTCTACATCTTTGGTTAATCATGATCCAAGAAATTTAAATTTACTAACGATACCTGTAGGAGTGTTATAAATATTAATATTAGCTTGTAGATTTGGGCATTTGCTTACTACCATTGGTTTTGTTTTACTGGTTTGAAAACCAAACAATTCATCTTATTCCACTACAGCGTCTAGGAGTCGTTCCGTGGTCCACCAGGCTGATAATATCATCGAAACAGCTTACATTGTTGATCAAATTTCCGAGTTTAATGCCTTCTTAGATGTTTTCTAGTACCCCTTGGAAAACATCTTCAAAGTGAAGGTTGAAGAGAAGAGGTCGCAGAACACAAACCTAACTTGGTTAAGTTAGGTTTATGTTCTGCCACCCTATCCACTCTAAGGTGGCTGTGAAAACTTGTTTAATTTTTTGTAAATGGACAACTAACAAAATGTGTGGTATTTTGGAACATATTTTTGCTAAAACAATGCGTTTTCTGATATAATTAGTTTTATGGTTTGGAAGTACCAGTTTATGTTTTTATTTGTACATGTTTTTTAAAAATTTGTCTACAATTTGAATGTTTGATTGTTTATGGTAAATGCAAATCCTGGGGAAATCGAAGAAGAATCGTTAGAATCTTTATTCCTTTACCAAAACAAGCTAACTCCAGACGACGTACAGATTTCAGATTAATAATCGTATAAGCCAAGTAGTTATAATTCTACTATAAATAGTTAACAATAAATTATACAACTACTGCGAGGAAGAAGTAAGGTACGACCAATTTGGATTTAGGGCCAGATTGACGACAAGAGAGGTTTTGTATTCTCTACAAGTACTGTTACACAAGTGTTAGGATCAAGAAAAAGATATTTGACTATGTTTTGTTGATTTTCATCGCAAAAGTAGAGTTTATATGGAAAAAATTCAGGGATGTCCAGCGATATAACTGTATAATTATGTGTCTAATATAAGAAATGGAGGTAATACATGGAAAAATTATTCAAGGAAGAGCAAGGGAGAGGTTAGTGTTTCTCGATGTTCAGGACCAGAAATAACGCTCAGTGAAGTAACATATGTAGTAGAATAAAAATACTAAAAATCAAGAAATCACCTGGACCTGATAACCTACAAGCTGAAATATTGAAACTATTTGAAAACAACCAACTCAAACTCCTAACGAGTCTACTGAACAACATCTATAAAACTACAGATTTTCCTACAGATTGGCTAGTTTCCACCTTCATCCCTCTCCCCAAAAAGGCAAATGCCATCAGATGATCTGATTACAGAATTATAAACTTAATGAGCCATGCAGTCAAAGTCCTTCTTTCTGTTATTCACTCTCGCATATATAGAAATCTTGAAGAAAACATTAGCAGTGTTCATTTTGTGTTTAAAAGTGGACTGGGAACGCGAGAGGCCTTTTTTTTCATATAAGTATTGATACAAAGAGCTCAAGACGTAAATTGTTTAATCTACGTATGCTTTATAGACTTTGAAAAAGTATTTGACAAGATGCAACATCAAACATTATTTCAGTTACTAAGAGAATCTAGTATTGATGACAAATATTTACGCATAATTAAAAATTTATACTTACATCAAAGGGCAACTATACGAGAAGACAACGAAACCTCGCAAGAATTCACGATAAAACGAGGAGTACGTTAGAGGTACTGCATTTTGTCACCGACGTTGTTTAATACTTACTCGGAAATGCTTTTCAGATAAGCTATTGATGGTTTAAGAGAACAGAAAAATCAATTGTGAAATTATAAACAATTTAAGATATGCGGACGATACGGTTTTGATTGCTGATTAAACGACATGAAATTAAACTGTAAGAAGACCAACATTCTTGTAGTAAGTAGAAACGACGTAATACAGCACCAATTTACAGCTAATAATGAAGCCTTGAAAATAGTCGACAAAATTACATATCTTGGATGCAGCCTAAATAAGAAATGGGACCACTCACAGGAAATAAGATGTCGTGTAGAAAAGGCGAGAGCTGTCTTCAAGCACCTCAGGAAGATTTTATGTAATATGCACCTGAACATACGAACACGAGTCTTGAGGTGCTATGTATTTTCTACCATTTTATATGAAGTCGAAACCTGGACCTTGACGGAGGAAACATACAAACGATTAGAAGCCTTCGAAATGTGGTGCTACCGCCGTATGCTCAGAGTTTCCTATATCCATCATGTTACAAACAACACCGTGATCCAACGTATGAATAAAGATCTGGAAATTATACGTATTGCGAAAATCAGAAAGATGACATACTTAGGGCATGTACAATAAAAAGTATCAACTAATTTAACTAATTTTATAAGGCAAGATAGAAGGCAAAAGATCTCAAGGGCACAGAAGGATATCGTGTTTGAAGAACATCAGACAGTGGGCAGGAATGACTACCATACATCTATTTAGAGCAGTGGTCAACAAAGTTGTATGGACCAACGTGATTACCGACCCCCCATCGGTTGATTCCCATCTATTCTGTTTTCAAGGTTTTTTTATTACATTACAGTAACATGATGTTATCAAAATTTGGGCACCCTGGAACAACCTTTTATCGTATTTTACTTAATGGTATTTTTTAGCTTTTTCCTTTTGATTAATACTATTTATTCTTAGAAAAAACATTTTTAAACTTACCTCTAGAATCATCATTTACAATTAACCAGTCTTTTTCAGTTAAATTATTTAGTAGTGTTACAGAACTATTGGGTGCTAACCAAAATGTTTCATATGAAGAACTATTTGACAATCTGTAAGTGATCGGTACGTACCACTGAGTCTTATTGTTTCCACTGTATAAAAATCGTTTCTAAAAGTAAAAATAAATATATTTTTTAAAAAAGTAATATTTTATCCAAAAACATACAAAAATATCATATTTACAAAAAAAAAAACATATTTTGCAGGTACAAACAATGGCAAAAATTTAAACTCCTTATTTATTGGAGTTATTAGGTATGTATTGTCTAAAACGATAATTTTCTCATTTGGTAATCTGGTAATTCTGTTCATCGATTGCACTGACTAACTGTATTATAAGACTCTTTACATTTAGCAACAAATATATCAAACAAATCTCTTATTCTAACTACATTATTAACAGTTCTTTAATGACAAATAAACGTTATTTAGATATTATCAACCAAAAAATTTTGGAGACCTTCCAATCAAAAACACTGCGTATACTAGCTCCTTGGTATGTGAGCAATGCAACCATTCATAATGACCTAGGAGTACCAACCGTAAAAGATGTCATATTACTTCAAGCTAACAAAGCCAAAATTTGTAATTTAACGCACCACTGCCAAATTATCAGTGAATTATATTAGCCACCAATAGAGGAATGAAGACAAAAGAGGACTTGGCTAGAAGACCTGGTTACATAGGTGAAAATAAAGAACTGTCACTGGACGGTACCCAAATTTGTAGTATAAATAAATTCTTTGTAACCATCGAATATTCAAAGTATAAAATTTATCTGGTACGCCCCCGGGCTAGATATTAAATATTGCTGAGTCTCTGTGTTTATATTTCACATTCCAAATTCAAAATTTGTATTTGGTTCATATTACGTATTAGTTCTACAGTTTTAAAAGCTAGGGATGATCAATGTTACGATACGATGTGAACGCGTGTTTGAAAAGAATGAGACATTTTTGAATATTAGTTTTTTAGTTACCATTGATTGCATTAGAGGTAATTACTAATAAATGACATTAAGGGCCGGTAGTTCGAATGCTAATCAAAACTTGATTGTAATAAAATATTTAATTACAAGCAAATGCGTCACAGCAGCTGTGAAAATTGTTAAAAATTGCTTATTATCATTGTTTATCTGTAAAAAAAAACATGAAATTAACATTAGAAAGAGTTTAATTATGGTTTATTTTAAATTTAAACGCAAAATAATCAAATAAAATAAAATAAATTAGTCAACATCAAAATGTACGTATTTGATTTTAATTAAATATTTGATTACAATCAAGTTTTGATTAGCTTTCAAACAACCCGCCCTAAAAGAATAAATAATAAAAGAATCACCTGTGAAAATGTAACATTTTTTCCATTAAAAACTACACTCACGACTGGGAACCCAGGTTTATTTGTCCAATTATCTACAAAATCGTTAAAAGTTACGTTTTGAGGTAATGCAGGACTGTTGCTAGGAAAATTTACCCATAATTTTTCCGTGGTTCCTGAACCATAAGCACTAAAATAAAATAATTCTGTTAATATTAATTAGGTAATTAAATAATAATAATACCTTGACTAAGCAAGAAAAAATGCGCACCTGGATGAGTAAACCTCTGCATGGGCGACATCTCAATGAGATCAGCCAAGAATATGTCGACAATACAGCGTCGAACTATTGGTTGACATCAGAAAATATGTTATCCGAGACTGAGGGTTACCTACTTGCCATTCAGAATCAAGTTATTCCAACTAAAAATTGCCTCAAATACATTGTTAGAGATCCTTATGTCCAAAATGACAAATCCCAATATGAATACCAAACCCAAGAAACCATCCAATATTGATGGTAAAGAACGCCATAACTCAGTAGGAAACTACATATTACGCCATAACTCAGTAGGAAAGTATATTAACTTCATATGCCAGTAACCTAACTAAGCAACCTTGTCTAATCTAATAATCTGTCCCTGTCACCTCCTGTCATGTCATCTTGTTACTAACATGAATAATATAATTGTCACTTAACTGGGTATCATACATCTATTACTGGTGTTATTTCCAAAAACCTCCTAGGGAACATAAAACAGCTGATTCTAAATGAAGATTTTTATAAGGCCATACAGAAAGCTGTACTGCTCGCGACGTCCAGCTGTGTACGATAATTTTTGGAAGATACTCCAGCATATCAAGTCACCTAGGGCTCGATAACACTAAAAGAGTCCTACCAGAGCTTAATTCTTTCAATACCGTAGGTATCAAAGTGAATTTTCTCCATAGAGGAAGTGTGAGCCGTATGGCTAAATTTAGATAAATGCGAATGTCCTTATATCCAACTTCTCAATCGACGATGTGAAAAAATTCAAGGAAAAAAAATTATTGGTAGCTAATAGATACGTACACTCAACTTAACTTCAAACAATGACTTACGTACTGCTTGATGAGGTAAATATTCTAATTAGACTACGTTCAAAAGCGTTTAATTAAAGTCTATAGTCTCACAAGTAAAACCTAAGTTCATCAAAAAGTCCATTGGATTGTAATTTAGCAATTGATCTAATCCTACTGGAAGGTAAATAACCTCGTAAATTAAGCATTTTGTATATATATATATATATATATATATATATATATATATATATATATATATATATATATATATAGCAAAACTAAGATTATCGACCGAAACGTAAAAAACAATTTATTGTGTTGGAATATCGGGTATGCGGTCTGTTATTATTAAAAAAATACGCATACCCGATATTCCAACACAATAAATTATATATATATATATATATATATATATATATATATATATATATATATAATATACAGTGGAATTAGGAACTTAGAATTAATGTGAGATTACAAATTAAAGGTTTAACTTGTGATTGAACAAAAGACAAGATCTTGTTGGTCTAATTGAAATATATTATAAATTATAGAATTTTTATAAGAAAAAGTATACATATTACTTACGTAGCATTTAGATAGTTTTGCAAAGCTGTCTGAAAAGTAGAAGAACCAATTAAGTTCTCTATCATTCTTAAGATGCAAGCTCCTACAAAAAATGTATTTATAAATAAATTATTGATAAACAAATATAAATAGTGTTTTGTTTTGTAAGTTTTATATTAGCTTATTCTTAATATCCATATTCTTTGCCGTATTTGTATTCTTTCATTACTTTCGGTGTGGTACTATCCCAACGAGTTTATTCTTACTTCTACAATGCATATATTTTTTTTATATTCATTTACCTCCAAGCCTTATATAATTTTAACTATTACTTAAAACCAACATAACATATTAAAGGTCTTTCTAAAGTTTGTGTGTAAAATACTGTCTCTAGAATCTGTTTCCGTTAATTTTTAAAATGTTTTTATATCTCGTGAAAAAGTTTGTCATTGTGATGGATATGTTGATTTTTGGAACAACGTGTGTATTATAGTTTAATACTTATTTTACTAATTGATGTAAAGCTAAAAATACTATTCTTACAAGTTCTATTAATTATTAAATATCCTACCAATCACTAATTACTAGGTCCTTACCTTTGTTGTATGATATTGTATTAAATTTGTTGCTTATTTCAGCCGGTGTCCATGCTGCAGACGTAAGTGAACGAGAACTTGGGGACGCATCTTCTACAAATGCTGTTTGTTGTTGTTCAACTATAAACTGTTTATCCATTTGAAAGTCACTTAAATCATTAATCTAAAATAAATAAAAAACTGCTTTATCTTATAAATCAATGTTGGTCTGAATCTAAAATACATTAAATTGAGAGCGTCATATTATATTCTGAAAAGCATCATTTCCTATATCTTCCTTATAAAAATATATCTTCTTTCACACTACGACATGAGATGTTTCGTGTGTTTTGATATGCCGCGTACACCAAGTCGTTCAAACACACATAGTGATGTATATTTTCTGCCATTTAAATGAGAGATTACAGGTACACGACACTACTCAAAAACATCTACGAGAACGCTACATCAAGTATACGTTTACACGAAGACAAAGAAAAATTCAGCTTAGGTCGAGGAGTTAGACAAGGAGACAAAATTTCAGCAAAATTGTTCACTGCAGCTCTAGAGTCAATATTTAAGGGCACTCAATGGCAAGATATGGGCATCAATATAGATGGAGAAAGATTAAATCACCTAAGGTTTGCAGATGATGTTGCATTAATCGCAGATAACTTACATGATACAGTTTCTATGATGCATTCGCTTAAAAGTCTGTCTGAAAGAGCAGAATTAAAGATAGACTTTGAGAAAACTAAACGTATAACAAATCTCGTAATGAGTGGAAATATAACTATTGACAATAATACCATACAACAAACAGACACTTACAAATATCTGGGACACAAAATCAAAATAAGCAGAGACAACCAAACACATAAAATACAGAGGCGAATAGACCTAACATGGGCAGCATTTGGCAAATTAAGCCATATTCTAAAAAGTTCAATTCCCATGTGTCTCAAGCAAAAGGTTTATAACCAATGTGTTTTGCCTGTACAAACTTATGGAGCAGAGACTTTAACACTTACGCAAAAATCTGCGTTACAGAGTTACACAACGAGCCATGGAACTTGCAATGCTGAACGTGAGCCTTCGAGACCACATAATAAACCAACAAATCAGGCGAAGATCAGGAGTTCAAGACGTCATCGAAAGAACCACGTCGCTTAAGTGGAACTGGGCAGGGCACTTAGCCAGAGCACAAGATGGACGGTGGACAAGACGTATTATAGAATGGAGGCCCAGAAACTATAAAATAAGCTAAAGACGACCACCGACTAGATGGACCGATGATATAAAACGTGTAGCGAGAAACTGGCTACAATCGTTCCAGTGTAAAGAACACTGGAAAGAACTATATGAGGCTTATGTCCTGCAGTGGGCGCAATTGGCTGATTGATAATATATGGGTCACACTATTCCATATAGTATGACATGGAACATACATGTCTCTCACAGTTGGGTTGTACGCTTGTGTGTATGTGCTCAATCTATCTTGGGCTCTAGCTGTATCTTTAGTAAAGAAAAGTTTAGTACGCCTCGTTAAAAGATTAAGATAATTTTGTTGCCAGACCAGACAACAAATTTTTAAACCCTGAAATAAAGTTTATTAGTTTTATAAAATATACATTTCCATCAGGTAATGGATGATTCCATACTTCCATCACTTCTTTAATTAATTTATTCGACAATTTTTTAATATCGTGTATTATACATAAGTTTTATTTACTCACTTTGGTTAAAATAAAGTATTGGAAATATCTTGCGAAGCCTTCATTCAAGAAAGTTGTATCCCACCATTTTGTAGTCACTAGATTTCCGAACCACATATGTGCAAATTCGTGAGCGATTATCGAAAGCATATTTTGCCTAAGAGCTCTTGATGTTTGGTCTTTATTCGAGGTAAGTGAATATTCCCTGTAAGATATAAAAGAAACGGTATGTATATATAAAACTTTAAAAAATTTAAAAAGGAAAAAAATTTCCATAGCGAAGTTGTGAGAAAGACTTGACCACAAATTCACTCCTAAAATCAATGAAGAAACATCATACTACAGTAGTAATGGGCGATTTTAATGCCAAAATTGGACATGGATGTGTGGACGGTTATGTGGGTGACTATGGATTAGGAGAACGAAACGAACGAGGAGACCGTATGGTACAATTTTGTCAAGCGGAGGATTTAGTAGTTGCTAACACTCCTTTCAAGTTACCTAACAGACGACTGTACACATGGAAATCTCCGAGTGACACCAAAGGTAGAGTAGTCAGAAAAAAAATTGAGTTTGTCCTTGTTAGTCAAAGATTCCGCAACTCTATACTCTCAGCTAAAACCTACCCAGGAGCAGATATAGGCTCGGATCACAATTCTGTAGTAGTCACATTAAGAATAAAACTAAAGATCATTAAAAAACACATACAGAAACAAATTGACGTGAGAAGACTGAATGAACAACATATAAAAGAGAAAACAATAGTAAACATCAAAGAAAATTTACAAAATATAGAGAAACTGAATAGAAATACTGATAACATAGACCAAAAATGGGAGAATATTAAACATGCCGTAATGTTGGCAGGGAGAGAAAATTTAACACCGAAGGAAAGGAAACATAAAGAATGGATGAATGAGGAAATACTACAGTTCATGTGTGAAAGAAGGGTACACAAAACAAATAATCCGATAAGATACAAAGAAACAGATAAACTGATAAAAAAGAAAATAAGAGTAGCTAGAGAAAGATGGCTAAGTGAGCAATGCCAGGAGTTGGAACAATTGGAGCGAAAATATGACTTTTTTAATGTACACAAAAAGATTAAGGAAATGACAAGAAGGAGAAGAACAACACAGACAGGACAGATCAAATATACAGATGGTAGAATTATAACAGATTTACAACAAAAAATGAACCGATGGACAGAATATATATCACAACTGTTTGATGACAAAGATAGGCAAGAAATCTCAAACGAATATACAGATATACAGGGCCTGATATAATCAGAGAAGAAATAGAATATGCAATCAAACAAGCAAAAAGTGGTAAGGCCCTTACCTACCTTACCCTATTGATGAGTCATGCTCTAAAACTGTTCTTAAAAATAATCCATAATAGGATCTATAGGAAATTAGACGTAGACATCAGTAACACTCAGATGAGATTCAGAAAAGGGCTGGGTACAAGGGAGGCCCTGTTTGCAATGAACGTTCTCTCACAGAGATGCTTAGACATAAACCAAGAAATTTACGCCTGCTTTATTGATTTCGAAAAGGCCTTTGACAAAGTACAACATGAACCACTAAGACAAGTTCTAATAAAGAAAAATATAGACAGCCGAGATATTTGAATTATATGCAATCTATATTGGAATCAAACAGCAAATGTCAAGGTTGAGGGCAGACTAACAGAAGAAATTCAAATCCGTCGAGGAGTCCGGCAGGGATGTATCTTATCGCCACTTTTCTCTAATCTGTATAGTGAAGCTATCTGTGCACAAACACTCGAGGAAGAAGATCTTGGTCTGATAATAAATGGTGAGACGATCAACAATATAATGTATGCTGACGATACAGTTCTTCTAACGGGAACGCTAGTAGAATTACAACATCTCGTTCAAAGTCTCAATATATACTGTAACGGCTTGAAAATTAATTTGAAAAAAACTAAATTTATGGTAATCACGAAATCAAAGAACATCAGAGCTAATCTTGTAATAGACAATACAACGATTGAGCGTGTGCCCTGTTATAAATATCTAGGTGCTTGGATCACAGACGATACTGATCAAACAAAAAAAATTAGATGTAGAATAGAAATCGCTAGATCAGTCTTTAATAGAATGCGCAAACTCTTTTGCAATCGTGATATCAATATAAAGTTAAGAATACGAATGCTGCGGTGTTATGTCTTTTCTAACCTGTTATATGGAGTTGAGGCTTGGACACTGAAACAGTTGACCATAAAAAACATCGAAGCTTTCGAGATGTGGTGCTATAGGCGCATTCTCAGAATATCATGGATGGACCGCGTCACTAACACGCAAGTACTCCAAACTTTAGACAAAAGATGCGAAATTCTAAATGAGATAAACACTAGAAAGATGGAATACTTGGGGCACATTGTGAGAGGTGAAAAGTACGAACTTTTAAGAAACATCATGCAGGAAAAAATTAAGGGCAAAAAAAGTGTGGGAAGAAGAAAAATATCGTGGCTTCGTAATCTACGTGAATGGTTCGGGTGTAGTTCGATTGAACTTTTTAGGCGCGCTGCTAACAAAGTCGCAGTGGCCATGATGATTTCCAATCTGCGCCAGGAGTGGCACGAGAAGAAAAAGACAAGTTCACTCTGATGAATCCATAAGGATGAAATTCGTATAAGCGAATGGTAGTGCTCTGTATTGAAATTAAATCCTAACTGTTTTTTTTTATTTTCTTTTGAATATTTTAATATCCAATTAGTCCTATCGTAAAGCACAACTAAAAAATGCTATGTTATATAATAAAGAGTTTATAGTTTACAAGTTTACAAATTTTAAATCCAGAAATCGAAATTTTTTAGTCGTTATAACTTCTTACGTGATGCCTCTTTCTCTAAGAGCTGTACATACAGAGACCGTTTGAATCTATTTTGACAATTTACTATTAAAACAAATGACACCAACTTTATTTTACATTGAGTTAACAATCCATAAGCAAATAGCTTTTCACCCTTGCAGAATCACAAAAAGACAACGTGCTAGTACGTTCTGACATTATGCGTACTAAATAGTAGCTATTTTAAAATTTCAATAACCGCTTAAAGCATGGCTAACGTCTACAACTTTTGGTATGAACTTGGTCGACAGCTTTTGGTATGAACTAGGCTATAATCTTATGAGAATTATGATATTAAAAAATGTGCGATAAAGTCAAAAATCTTGATGGTAATGATGAACATAAAAATGAATAAAACAAATTTAGTGCAGGTTCACTAAATTATCACAAATATTGTTCAGTGATCAGTTTCTTAATATTATTATTTATTATATTATATAGTTTCTTAGTTATGATAATGATAATTATGAGTTAATTACTATTTATAACTGGGAATAAGCCACAATTAAAGATAAAAATACGTTTATTGACGTTTCAATTTCCAATTCGGAAATTGAAACGTCAATAAACGTATTTTTATCTTTAATTGTGGCTTATTCCCAGTTATAAATAGTAATTAATTTACAATGCCACAAGAAAATAGCTTCAGAACGATAATGATGATGATGACAATAATGAAGATAATGGTAATAGTTAGGGATGATAACAACAATGTTGATATTAACGAATGTGCTTATAAATTATTTTATAAGCACCTATTTATATATTTTATATTTTATAAGAAAAATATTCTACCTGTAAGTAACTAATCCCCAGTTTTCCATGGCTCCAGCACTAAAATCAGGAATGGCAAACTGATCCAATTTCTTTAAGTTGGTCAAATTATAGGGACTAGCAGTATATTGATCAAACGCTTCTAAAATCCTCATACCATACTGCAAGGCTTCATCTCTGTCGCTAGATAAATCTGTTCTTGAACATACTCCAAAATCAGTACCTAAATTTGTACCCGACGTGCAATTATATTTGGATATTACAAAGGCTATCAAGTATGTAGACATTTTAGGGGTTTGTACAAAAACAGTTGTCGTAGTATTTCTATAAAATAAAAATTATTAGGTTAGTTTTAATTACATATAAATAATGTAGTGATAATGTAGTGACAAAACATAAAAGAAAAAAAATAACAATTTTTTACAAAATCAGTTATATATGATGAAAAGAAAAAAATGTTCATAGCTGGTGGATTAGAGCCTCGAGAAAAAACTTACGTTATTTCCAAAAACTACCACGAAGATTTCAACTTGTATCATATACACATTTAATTTTTTATGCAAATAATATTCAATTTAGATATACTGACAATGAAAGATGTATTGAATGGATAGGTGAAATACTTTAACCTGGCATTTTATATAGAGGAGGAAGAAGAAAACCTGGAAGGCAAAAGAGATGAGGTAAGGGTACCATACAACAGGGAAGAGGAACCACCAACGATTCTTGCAATTTAAGATGCAGTTAAAAAACTAGCCAGAAACAAATTACCTGGAATAGATCATCTCCCAGCTGAACTATATAAGGTAGGTGGTAACGATATCATAATGGCATTACAGCAGCTTTGTAATGTAAACATAGCAAGTGAGTGGGGAGTTGGAATAAAGGGCTAAGTAGCATAGAAAAGATAATAATTATTCGAGATAATTATTATACATTCCAAATTAAATAAGGCATAATTATTACAGTAAAGTTTGCATTTTAAATCACACAAAGAAATTGACCTAGTTATTGCATTGTTTGATAATTGTTTAAACGTAGGAAAAGCACGTCAAACAGAAACTGTTATTGTAATGCAATATAGGACCCACAATTCAGCGAAAACGCAACCTTGGACTACAACCGGTCAATGAGGACACCAGTTGATAAAAACCGAACTAAGGAGGCCAAGCAGTCAGTAATAGCGAGTCAGGGGTAGTGATACGGCGGGAGCCGTCAAGGCATCAATTGCCTGCTCCGAGTACTCTCGACGCGGTAGCGTCGGGTACGAGGCAGTCGGCAATTCTCCGGGGAGTGCTCAACACCCGGCATAGTATCTCGTGTAGTCCGGTTATTGTGGCAGCTCGTAAGTTCGTAACACAGGAGGAGACCCTCAACTGACCCAGTTCCAGAGGACCGAAACGTGTCGTGGTTGAAAGCCTAAATACACATAAGGTAACAGATTTCTATATACTAACCTGAGTAATTATAATAGTACAACTGTCAACTCTTCACTCCCTCGCTCCTCGTCTCCCGACGTGCAGAATGACGTGTTAACGATTGTATTAGTAACTTCAGGGTAAATTCAATATATTGTAGACTCTAAATTGGTTTTTTTATTGTTCCTTTCGTCCGACTCATTAGAGACTAGGAGAATACGAGATTCTGCTTATGCATATCTCCGGCTTCAAACCTCTGCTCTTTACACGACCTGAGACCTAGGAGTCCTTACCCCTATCCCGAAAATCCCTTATCTTCTCGTAAATCCACGCAGACGAGCCAGCCCTCCAGACTAGTGTGACCACTATTCCTTGCAGCCGCTCGCAGGGTTAGCATCCTTTGAGGATCTATAAAGTATTACATTGGGTGACAGCGTTTTCCTTACCTTCATAAAAATCCCAGTTGTATTACATTTGGTGACAGCGTTTTTCATAACTTCACATAAACTCCTATTCCGTATTACTTTATAGTGGTTACAGGACCCTATACATAGAGTTCCTTAACCCCTAATCCCGAACTTCTCTCCACTTCTCGTAAATCTGTCCCAATACATTACAGCTTACAAAAAAAATATGGACACAGAAATCCCTTTCTTATGATTGGAATATTGGAATACTTTGCACCATAGACAAAAAAGAAGATATATTTAAATGCTCGAACTACAAAGGAATTCTTGTAAAAACGCTTCTAAATGCAGGGTATAAAATATTTTCCACAATACTATGGCACCATATGCAGAACGTATAGTAGGGAATAGTTCAAAGAGTTTAAAACTGCAACATAAGTGATAGAAATGCCAAATGGAAGGATTTTAAAAGAGCAAGAAATGTGGTAGTTAATAATGTTAAAAGCAAAAAAAGAACAATACTATTTTGATAAAATCGATAGGTATGAAAATAACTCTAGACTTATGTGGAAAACGCTAAAAACACTAATTAACAATAATTGTCAAACATTGTCAAAAATGCCCTGATCGCCTTGAATTTACGGTTCAGAATCAGTTATGCATTCTGAGTGACAAAGTTGAAATGGTGCGTTGGTTTGGTAAATATTTTGTCGATAGTATTTGGCAAATTGTTGAAAGTATCGACTCCGAAGAATTATGGAGTTCTGATAATAAGAATTTTATACCCCAGTATTCATGAATTTAGGTTACTATCATTGAGTGACTTGGTAGTTATGGTTAAGTCGTTAGATAATAGGAGTAACAATAATGAAATTCTAAACTTCAAAATTCCAAACTCCAAAAGAGTTTTTTGTAAGTTGTGGTCACATTATCTTAAAGTTTATAAATACCAAAATTCCAGATATATTAAAAAATAGTACAGTTGTTCAAATCTTTTTCTTCTTTATGTGCCGTCTTCTACCGAAGGTTGGCGACCATCATACGATAGGTTTCTCTGTTTTGTGCCGCATGAATTATGTTCGCAGCTTCTGGTATTTGAAACCATTCTCTCAAGTTTCTCAGCCTTCTTCTTCTTTCTGCCCAAACCTCTTCTATCTTCAATTTTCCTTCCACGATAAGCTGTAGCAGACTGTACTTATCATTACGGAACACATGGCCCAGGTATGACGCTTTCCTCCTTTTAACAGTTGTTAACAATTCCACCTCTTTACCCATTCGTCTTAATACCTCTGTGTTGGTCACTCTGTCTGTCCAAGGTATTCTCAGTATTCGTCGATACAGCCACATTTCTAGAGCCGCTAACTTCTTTATAGTTGCTGCTGTTAACGTCCACCCTTCTACGCCGTAAAGTAGCGTAGAGAGTACGTAGCATTTCGTGGCGCGCCATCGGAGGTTAATGCTTAGGTTGCGGTTGCTTAAGAGCTTTCTCATTTTAATGAATTTGGATCTTGCTATTTCAATTCGGATCTTAATTTCTACTTCTGGGTCCCACTTGTCATTTACTGTATATCCCAGATATTTAAATCGGTGTACTCTTTCAATACGTTCGTCTTCAATATGCAGGTCGATATGTTGAAATTTTTTTTTACTGATCACCATAAATTTAGTTTTCTTTCTATTGATCTTCAGTCCAAATCGGCTGCCAGTTGTATTAACTCTATGTAGCATCATCTGTAAATCTTCGATGTTATCGGCCAGTATAATAGTATCATCTGCATATCGAAAATTACTTATTGGTACGCCATTAATCTTGATGCCCTCATTGTACTCTTCTAGTGCCTCTAGAAATATTTGTTCCGTGTACAGGTTGAAAAGCAGTGGCGAAAGAATGCAGCCCTGTCTTACCCCTCTAGAAATGGTTATGTTTTCACTCACCATATGTCCATTCTTCATGTGGGCTGTTTGATTCCAATATAGATTTTTTATAATCTGGATGAACTTAGTGTCAAGTCCTGAAAGACGTAATAGTTCAATGAGTTTGTCATGTTTGATAGTATCGAATGCTTTCTCATAGTCGATAAAACAGACATAAACATCTTTCTGTTGATCCAGGCATTTTTGAATCAAAACTTGTATTGCAAAGAGGGGTTCTCGAGTTCCAAAACCGCATCTAAAACCGAACTGTGTTTTACTTATGCTGTGTTCTAATTTTGCTCGTATTCTGGAATGGATAATACGCAAAAATACTTTAAGGGTGTGGCTCATTAAACTTATAAGGCGATATTCACTACACGTCTTAGAATTATATTTCTTGGAAAGGGGCACAAATGTAGATTTCAACCAGTCCGATGGAATTTGACCAGTATCGTATATCTTATTAAACAGTTCCAATACTATATTCAGGTTGTTCTCGTTAAAAACTTTTAAGAATTCGACTGGTATTTCATCGCATCCTGTTGCTTTCCCATCATTCGTTTGATCTATAGCTTTTATCACCTCACTTTTCAATATTTTTGGTCCATTCAGATCAAGAGTGTTCGTAGAAATATGACGATAATCCGTAAACAAATCTTTTATGTAGATTGCCCAAGTCTGTAACTGTTCTTCTTTGTCTACAATAAGTTTATTGTTTTCGTCTATTAACCTACCAAACTGTTTTTTCTTGTAAGTATAAGTAAACTCCTTGATTTTTTTATGCATGTTAAAACTATCGTGTCTTCGTTCTAGCTCTTCTATCTCTTGACATTTTTCTTGCAACCATTTCTCTTTGGATTCTTTTATCTTTCTGCTGACAGTTCTATCCAGTTCTTTATATTGTTCGGGATTATTCTTATTTTCCCTCTTTCTCTCCATAAGGTGTAATATTTCATATGTCATCCACTCGTTCTTCTTCTTCCGCTCGGAGTCACCAATTACTTCTTTTGTACCGTTGCATATAGCGTCCCTTAAGTTGATCCAGTCTCTTTCAATACCATCAGTGTTGGTTGTTAAAGCAACATTACTATTAATGCTATTTGTAAGCTTGGCTTTTATCTCAGGATTTCTAAGTTGATCCATATCTAATCTTTTGTTATTCTGTTTCTGGATTATGGTTTTTAGTCTTACTCGTAATTGGGCTACAAGAGGATTATGATTAGAGTTTATATCAGCTCCAGGATATGTTTTGGCTGATATTATTGCGTTACGAAATCGTTTGTTAATTGTTATGAAGTCTATCTGATTTCTAACGATGTACCCAGACCTATCCTGTGGTGACTTCCAAGTGTACAATCTTTTTACTGGTAAGTTGTTCAAATACCAAAAGTTAATAATACTATTAAGGCGGATGAGTTTAGACCTATAAAATATACTTCCGCCAACAAGTCATGGATCACGTTGACTAAAATGAAATCTTAATGAATAATCAGTCAGGTTTTTGTAAAAAGTATTCCTGCGAAACTGCACTGTAACTTTCACTTTGTTAATTCAGGTCTGAATTGAATAATGTTAATTATGTAGTGGTAGCATTCCTTGATTAAAAAAGAGCTTTCGAAAGTATTGATCGTAATATACTTTTCACTAAATTAGAAGGCTATGGTGTTGGAGGAAATGTTCTTGAATGGTTTAAAGATTACTTATTGGATAGAAAGTAGCAAGGAAGGATTGATAATATTACTTCTTATGAAATTTGTTTTAATATTGGGGTACCTCAATGTAGTATCTTGGAACCACTTTTGTTCATTTTGTATTTAAATGATATAATCTTGTTTGTTTAATCTATACTCAATTAATGATATGAATACTAATATTCTTTAAATTAATAATGATAAAATAAAAATCATCACAACAATTAAGTACCTTGGTTTTCAATTGGCTAATTTTTTGTCTTTTAATGACCATTTTAATTATATATTAAAAAAGATTTCCAAAAAACTATATTTTTTTTTAAGAATATCTAACAATTTGCCAACTTCAACTAAAGTTACAGATTTTAATGCAATTATTTAACCTCAATTCGATTTTTGCTCGTCAGTTATTTTTCTCTTTAATTTAAATCAATTGGCCCAGTTGAAAAATTACAAATACGCGGAATGAGAATCATTCTTGGTGGAATCAGATATATACCTATAGCAACAATGCTTAGCATGCTGCAAAAGGTTTTAGTTAAACACAGTCTTTTCTCTTATAATGATGTTCATTTATACAATTTTAAATTTGGCCCCTGCTAACTTTTGTGAAATTACCCTCGAGTAGGGTAATTGTAAGATTCACAATTAACCTACTCGAGGTAATTGGAATTTACACATTGTGAAAACCAAAAGGACGGCTTCAAGAAACTCTTTGTTGTTTAAAGGTTTTGATCTTTTTAATAAGTTTGCTTAAACAGTTAAAAGTTGTTCATCTGTACAAATCTTTAAAAGCAAATTACTAGGTACTATATTTTAAATGTAATTGTTATTTTTATCTTTTTATGTATTATTGTTATAAATTGATTACTTTTGTGTATAATAGGGCTTTTTCTATTTTTGAATAAATAAACTTCTTCTTCAATACTTACGTTGTTTGTGCTACTGCCTGCGACTGGGATGGCGTATTTGACTTAGCATTGAATTCCGAGGGATGTGTTAAAGTCAACTGAAAAGTAGCTTTCAATCCTGGTTCGTCAAAACATGGAAATGCTCTTCTAGCATGAGTTGACTCAAATTGGGTTGTAGCCAGATACTCTTTAGTACCGTTAATCACATAGTCACTTCTATAAAATCCGTTCATCTTAACTTTTTCCAAATTTCCCTTAAACTGGATATTGAGCCTGTACGTCGTACTAGTATTTAGGTTACTGTTTAAAAAAATAGATACCGTTTCCTTAGTTGAGTTGAGTGTATAATTTTGTATCACAACAGACGGATCAGTAAAGGATATGCTAATAATATTTACAAGTGAATGAAATTGAACAGTATTCGTTGGTTCAGTAACACTCAAAGTTATATTAACAGTTCCGTCATAGCTTGTATTCCCTCCAGTTAAAGCCTCCAAGGGAACTGTTAAGCCGATATCATAGTGTGTGGGAATAACTGGTGTTGATAACAAATACTCATTAGTAGAGATTTCTTCTGCTCTGGCAGTTCTTTGAACAGGAAAAAGTTCTGGATCTGGATCTGAAGCCGTTGTTGAAGCAAGTATTGATAAGAGAAGTATTCCCCACATGATGCATCTGTAATGAAAAATATAGCATTATTCGTATTGATAATATGAAAGTAATGAATCGTAAAATACACAAATAAATAGGGAAAACGTTATTTACACTAGAAAAATATATTCTCGTTTACAAGTTTTAAAACGTTTTAATCTATTAACTGGTGTACAAAGTCACCTTCTTTGTCAGAAACCTCACCTTCTTTGTTAGGACAACGTGAATAGATAGCTTAAAAACAAAAATCCGTTTATTGAGATGCTACGTGTTTACAGTGCTGCTCTATGTGGTTGAATCATGGACACTAACCAAGGCATCCATAGGAAAACTCGAGGCGTTTGAGATGTGGTGTTATAGACGGATACTGAGGATCTCCTGAGTGAACCGAATAACAAACATTGAGGTTCTACGTAGGATGAATAAAACATGTAAAATTATATCCACTATGAAACAGTGCAAACTAGAATATCTTGGACATATAATGTGAAACCATCATAGATATAACCTGTTGCAACTTATATTACAGGGAAAGGTATACGGAAAGAGAGGACCAGGAAGAAGAAGAATATCTTGGCTCCAGAACCTACGAAAATGGTTTTCCTTGACCACTTCAGGACTATTTCGAGCTGCGGTCAATAAAGTTAAAATTGCCATGCTAGTTGCCAACATCCGTAACGAATAGGCACCACAAGAAGAAGAATAGATAGTTAAGTTCAGGTTGAGACCCAGTTCTGTGGGGTTTAACCCAGACCACTGCCAAGGGATACAGGGGAAGACCACAATGGCGGCGACGGCGTAGAAGAAGTTCTTCGGTTCGTTGTCAATGGCGGAAGTGGCAGCTTGGTTTCTAAGCAAAGTATAGATTCACAGCAAAGTTTGATCCAGAGTGGCAAAAAACAACGAAACTCCACGATAAGGGCAGCTGAATTCAAAGTTGAGAAAGCAAGTAAAAATTACTCAACTTATCCTTTCCTTGAAAATTTATGCTGCCAATTGTTTTTTATATCATAAAAAAATAAAAAAATGAGCCTCAGTCTTAAGTCATCAGAGTGTGCGAAGAAATCCTCGGCTTGGAAAATTGGACAATGGCATAAAGGAAATGGAAATATTTAACGTTGATACTATGAGAATAGACAAAGAAGAACTTTTCTTAGGAACCATTGGTAAATATTTACTCCATCAAAATACCAATGAAAATGGAGAATTACTTATCAACTTTGAAAGTAGAAAAAACCTGATCATAAGTTCGACCTTTTTCCCACACCTCGACATACACAAAGCGACATGGATTATCCCTGGAGGAACAACCGCCAACCAAATTGATCATGTCTTGATAGAAGATAGCAACAAGAATAAAAGATGTGAAGAGCCGAAGAGGAGCATGACCATATCCTAGTACAGATAGAATACAGATTCAGAATTCAGAGAAACAGGAGGGAAAGACTGGAACAAAGAACAGAACAGCTAGATATACAAAAATTTAAACAATAAGATGTCAAACAGAACTATGAGAGAGAAATAACACAAATATTGACAGAGACAGGCAGTCTAGATACCGAAGAATATTCGGAAGAAATCAAAATTAAAGTTATTGACGCAGCCAGAAAAATCATAGGCAAGAAAAAGAAAAATGCAAAAAGAGAATGCTTCAAGGACGAATATAATAAGGCCATACAAGAAAGAAATGAAGAACACAAGAAATATATGGAAAGAAGAACCAGAGAAAGAAGGGCAAGTTACGAAGATGCAAGACGGAGGGCCGATAAAATATGCCGAACAGAGAAAATAAAATACATAAAAATAAAATAAATAAAATAGAAAAAAATCTTTAAAGCAACAATATAAGACAGGCAACTCTTCTACGAATCTTTTCATCCTTAGTTCGATCAAAAATTGACAACGGCTCAACGGTATATAATTCAGCCAAGAAATCTGTTAAAGAACTAGATGTAATTTAAAATACGGGACTGCGAGCCGCTTTGGGTGCCTTTCGAACAAGCTCCATACAAAGTATATGCAGTGAGCCAGCGCAAACCTCTTTAGAATTTAGGAGAGATTTGTCGTTTGCTTGTAAAGTTCTATCCTCTCTAGATAACCCAGTCTACCACAACGTTCATAGCAATCTTCTCATCTCATCCTCAATGTAATCCGCCTTTCTATGAACGAATTAACCGATTACTTTATAAATATAGCATAATATTTCCACCAAATACCACCCTTCCGAAAACCCTCCTCCTCCATGAACTGTTAATAAACCACTAGTAATCACTGATGGATAGATTTAGCGACTACCGACATCTCTACACAGATGCATAAAAAACAACGAACGGAGTCGGCCCAGCCATTTTCTGTAGTACTCATAATGCTAAATTTTAAGTTGCATAACAACTGGACTATACCCAATGTAGAACTATATGCAATCCTTGAAGCTCTAAAATTCATTAACAAAACGAACCAGAGAAACTACACAATCATAACCGACTCAATGAATGCCCCATGTGACATCCAAAACATATACTCCAGCAACCCTATTCATAAAGACATTTAAAAAGAACTTCAAAATCCTGTGAAGGAAAACAAACAAGTAGTATTAATCTGGGTTCCATCTTATATTGGAATACACGGTAACGATGTTGTAGACCGTCTAGCTCACGAAGCAGCGACAAGTGATGGTCAAGTGAAATTAAATAAAATAGTGCCAAGTGATCTTAAAATGTGCTTAAAAAACGTAGTTAGTTGTGAGTGGCAAAACAAATGGTCGCAGTGTTCCGAAAAACTAACGCAAATTAAAGACAATGCACATGCAAGACATTTACAAAAACAAGCCTTTGTGTTACCTAGAAAAAAACAAGTCATCTTTTCTCGACTTCGACTTGGTCACACTCGCCATACACATCTTTACCTAATTTCAAGAGACAATCCTCCATACTGTAACCAGTGTCAAACCAACAGTACAGTAAAACATATTTTAACCGAATGTCAAATTTTCCGGGAAACGAGAAGTAAACGCAACCTCCCCAGCGACATAGGCGAGCTTCTTAGAGACAACAATCATTAAACAATATTATAAAGTTTTTACCAACTGTAGGCATAAAAGATATTTAAATTAAAATCTAGTCTGTATCACAAATTACATACACTGCGTCCGTAAAGTATGGAACAAATTCTTTTTTAGCTAAACAGAACATTTTGAGAAATAATCCTGAAACAGGTCGATTTTTTGTGAAATGGAACACCCCCATTTTGTCTCTATTTTCAGATTACACTAGCTTAGCTGATTAAAAAAATGTATCACATGTTGATTCAAATTGGTACAGGGTGGACAAAAATACAATAGTTTTGTGTGTGTTCATAAAGTAACGCGCTAGTTAAATTCACAATATTATCAAAAATACTTATTGTCTAGCGGACAGATTATGATGAAATACATAACTTTATAAATGTTCGAACTGCAGCCCTTGCTGTATTTTATAGTAACCCAAACGTTGTACAAATTCTTGTTGAACCTTGTTTATTGTATTGAGAAATATTGTTTATTGTGGTCCGAATTCTCTGTTGTAATTCTTGAATATTTGCTGGTTTCGTTTGATACACAATATTCTTCAGATGGCCCCACATAAAATAATCCAAAGGATTGAAATCTGGTGACCTCGCTGGCCATTCAATAGGTCCACGTCTACCAATCCACCTGTTCGGAAAAATTTCATCTAGGTACCTTTTAACATCTACAGCATAATGTAAAGGTGCACCATCCTGTTGCAACCATTAACTTTCATCAAAACCTCCAGGATTACGTCTGCTGGGAAATAAATTACGAAAAGTACGTACGAGATATCCCCTTACAAACTCAAGGTACGTTGCTCCGTTTAAATTACCTTCGATAAAGTAGGATCCGATGATTCGATTTCTTACAATTACATCCCATACATTTACCTTTTGCGAGTATTGTGTTTAATGCTCACGCATCCAGTGGGCGTTTTCTTTTGCCCAGTATCTACAATTCTGACGGTTAACCTCGCCATTTAACGTGAAAGCGGCCTCATCAGAAAAAATTATGTTTTGTACCAAGAGAGGATCTCGGTAGCAGTTATCCATCATTGCTTCGCAAAATTTCATTCTTCAATCTGGATCATCTTCGTTTAATTCCTGCACAAGTTTGATTTTATGAGGATGCCATTTTTCAACTTTTAATAGTTTGTGTACCGTTGTTTTACTAACACCGATATCGCGACTAACTTTATGCACATAAGTGTGCGCATCTTCTTCAAAACTAAGTAAAACATCTAATTCTGTATCAGCATTTGAAGAGGGACGAACTGATTTCCGTGCATTTTCAACCGTACCAGTTTCTCGAAATTTCTGTTTAATCTTACTGTTGAACGCGTTATAGGTCTTTCTGGATATTTATCATAGTTTATCATATTTATCAAAGTTTATGGTTGCAACAGAATGGTGCACCTCCACATTATGCTGTAGATATTAGAAGGTAGGTAGACGTGGACCTGTTGAATGGCCAACGAGGTCATCAGATTTCAATCCTTTGGATTATTTTATACAGTGCCATCTGAAGAATGTTGTGTATCAAACGAAACCAGCAAATATTCAATAATTACAACAGATAATTCGAATAGCAATAAACAATATTTCTCAAGACACAATAAACAAGGTTCAACAAGAATTTGTACAACGTTTGGGTTACTATTAAATTCAGAAAGGGCTGTAGTTCGAACATTTATAAAGTTATGTATTTCATCATATTCTGTCCGCTAGACAAGTATTTTTGATAACATTGTGAATTTAACTAGTGCGTTACTTTATGAACACACACAAAACTATTGTATTTTTGTCCACCCTGTACCAATTTGAATCAACATGTGATACATTTTTGGAATCAGCTCAGCTAGAGTAATCCGAAAATTGAGACAAAATGGGGGTGTTCCATTAAAAAAAATGACAGTGACGTCATTACTCGAAAGTAATTCACCCTGTGTATTAGAATATTATTTTAAAATACGGTAAAT